CAAAATAAAAGTATTAAATAGGACAGGTATTTTATGTTAGAAATGCCTTCTAGTATTTGGTGCATCTCAGACCAAAAGACCATTACACTTTTTGAATAGTTAAACATGTGGTAACACTTTACTTGAAGGTATCTACATAAGGGTGACATGACACTGTCATAACTATGACATGACACTGTCATGAACTTGTCATAAACATTATGTACATGTCATAAACGTTTATGACTGCTGTCATTAAGTGTCATTCGTTTTTTTTTATGACAAGTTGACATTGTTTGGGTTGTCTTTGTCATGACAAGTTGACATTAAATTTGTTTGGGATGTGCTTATAATGACAAGTTGACATTAACCAGGATGACATTACCAGAAGATGTCTTTGTATCAATCATTATGTCACCTTGTCATAAACACAAAAAGAGCTGCATTTCTTGTTAATGTCAAGTTGTTATGACAACCTGGTTAATGTCAAGTTGTCATTATAAGGACATCCCAAACAAATTTAATGTCAACTTGTCATGACAAAGACAACTTCTGGTAATGTCATCCTGGTTAATGTCAAGTTGTCATTATAAGGACATCCCAAACAAATTTAATGTCAACTTGTCATGACAAAGACAACTTCTGGTAATGTCACTTTGATTAATGTCAACTTGTCATAATCAAGACAACCCAAACAATGTCAACTTGTCATTACAAAAACCAAATGACACTTAATGACAGCAGTCATAAACGTTTATGACATGTGCGTAATGTTCATGACAGGTTCATGACAGTGTCATGTCATAGTTATGACAGTGTCATGTCACTCTTATGTAGATACCTTAAAGTAAAGTGTTACCAACATGTGTTATTAGATACAGAGCTGGAAAAAAATTGTAAAGTAACAACATGCAAATGGCACCAATTCTGCAAAATGTCCCCTAATAAAACAGTAATATTTTATCTATGAAAGACTAAACTTCAGAATTAACACATTTTTCAGCTGGTGTTTTGTGTTTAATGTTTCCTCCAACAGTCGACCTACATGAATATCCTGACTGCTGTCTAACCTACTCTGCCTCTTTCTTCTCTGCAGTGTTCATCATGGCTGCCGGACTGCTGGTCTACCCCTTCGGCCTGAACTCCTCGCTGGTCAGGTCCTTCTGCGGGGACTCTGACATCTACTACGCCGGCGAGTGCCAGATTGGCTGGGGTTACATGCTGGCTATTGTCGGAGTCATGCTCACCGTCTTCTTGCCCTTTTTTGCCAAATATGCGCCGAAGGAGCAGCTGTCCCCCACCCCTCTACCCACGCTGTTATAGTGCAGTGATACGATGTCTTGGGTTTTTTTTCTTCTCCCCTCCTGACCACTCTCTAACCTGGGCTTGATGTGATGGAGAGACACGTGCATCCCGTTTTTAAAGGTGATGCTGTTTGGGACTCAACAACAAACGCTGTCTTCCTGCATCTGTCGTGTAACTAACTCAGTTAATTTAGATGGAATGTTTTATGTTACAGTAATTTCTGCAGTTATTATGTTTTCTTCATGTCAGTTCTGGAGATGATGCAGTCAGAAGATGCAAGGACCTCGCCTCACATGATTTAAGAAAATGACCACAAACATAACAAGTACTTGCATAAAAAAAAAGAAAAAAAAAGTGTCTTTATCCCTTTCTTTCTTTCATGGGTAACAAGTCGACGTGTGTAACATTCCAAAACAGACTGGCCGCGTAAAGAGAGTGGAAGCATGAGATTATGTGGCAGTTTGATTCGTCCAATCAAATTTTTGAGGAAGAGGTTTTGAAAAACTTTTGACTCAATGAGAGAGACACTTTGAACTGACAAAGACTGAGAATATTAATAGAAGGAGCTGCATCTACTGATGATGTACTGTGCTGAAGCGACTGTACATATGGTCTGGATTTAACAGAGCTGCAAAATACCACAGTAAAAAGAGAAATTTGATGCTTTGAAGGATTGTTGCTCTGCAAACTTTATCTGCCTTCCAGCCTTGTGACCAGGCAGTGAACCGGTGGGAGTCAGGAAGATGTTTGAGCTTTCAAAGACAGTGCATTTAGTGACAAAGAAAGGACTTAACACAGCTTCAGACCTGCCGAGAGGACAAACTGAAATCTCTTCTTGTAACAAGGAAGTGAATTGTACTAATACATAGTGGTTTCAGAGTAGAGTTGTCAAAAATGTTGGGATACTGCATCCTTTTGTTAACCTTTTCCCCCAGAATTGTTTGTGTAACGTAACCTGCTTGTTAAACATGGGCAAATGTTTTCTGTCTACAACACACACTACTAAACACTCTAATTCAGGAAAAAAAATGATTGCAAAAGGCAGGGAGATGTGGGAATTTTGTCAAAAAATGCATGATAAGATGGGCTTTGTTAATGGTAGAACAATTGATCTAGATTTTAAATGTGATCTGACCAACTTGTGCCTTTTAACATAACCAAGACAAGTGTTTAATATCAGGTTATCATCTTTTTTCTGCTGAAAAACTGTGGCTCCTGTTGTGTGATGTGTTTTTATTTCCCCTGTTATATTTCTTCCTCTCAGAAGTCTTTCTCCTGTACTTGATGCAGTATGATCTCATTAACTTGAGAAAATGTTCTGGAGGATTAAAAAAAAAGATGATGTCTTCTAATCCTTGGAGGTAACAGCAGAGACACGACGAGAGGGAAAAAAAGGAAAGCAGTGTACTTGTGTTCAATTATGCCCTGAGACATTTTTGCCAATTATCTAGAAGAGGTAAATCACTTGAATTGCCATATTAAAAGGTTGTGACATGCAGCTAACAGATTAATTCCTGGCATCCGTGTCTTGCGTGATTTAGAAATTGAATGGCAGAGGAGGGAGCTGTATAAATTGAACTTCGCCTTTGGTTATCTGTGCTGAGCTGAAACATTATTCACGTTATGTGTAAGACGTGGCTTAAAATAATTAGCTCCTCAAGTAAGCTAATGTGTTGCTGTGTTTGCGTCAATCCACTTCTCCTTTTTAAGCGCTGGCACCATTCCTGTCATGTTCCAAGGACAAAATGTCTCCACTTACTCTCCCTGTACACTGCCAATTTCATCAAGCTAGACTCCATTTTCTAGTGGGTGTTTATGTGCGTATTAGTGTTGAATAATGGGTTGGATTTTTTTTTTAAATATTTCCCAAATTTGGGTTCCCATAATGACATTTCCTGACGTTAAAGGGATAGCCTGGATTTTCTGAAGTGAGGTTGTATGAGGTTCTTATCCATAGTCAGTGTATGACATACAGTAGACATCGAACTGTCTGCCATGAACGTTTGACTGGTGCAAAAGAAAATGGGAATTGTTGTTAGTTGTTACGTACACGTAAGTTGGGCCGTATATGTCATACCCACTACTTTGAGAACTCAATTTTTACATATATTTTCCCGATCAAACAGAAAAATACAACCAAACACAGGCTATCAAAGTTTCTCTCTTTCACCCAAAAGGCCACCGAAAAAGTCATTATCAGTTAAAGTGCGTGCTTTATTTAGAATATTTTCAAAGCTTTACCATGTTGTCAGACAGCTGTTTAATATGGAGAACTTAAGTTGTTATATCACTCTCTTGAAAGCCACCAGACTCCTTTGACGAAAAAGTGATTTTACCTCACAGAACACTGGAGTTGCTGGTCTACTGCCTCCTTGAATCGGTTAGCTTGTGTTATTGTGACTTTGGTGCTTTAAAGGGTTAGTTTGGATTCGCCAAAGTCACACAGTAACGCAAAGAAACTAACCGATCAAAGCAGCAATAGAGCAGCAACTCCAGTGTTCTGCGAGGTAAAATTACTGTTTATTTGTCAGTGAAGTCTGGTGACGATGAAGAGATCACAGTTAGCAGTTTCCCGTCAGAAAGTGCTGTCTGAAAGCAAAGCAGTGAAAATATTATAAATATAGTGTACACGCTGATATTGATTTTTTAAGGTAGCTAAAATAGGCATTGCTGCTGCCCTCGTCCACAGCAGTACATTGCTTAGCTTCCATGGTGGTAATAGGGGTGGGCGATATGGCCCTATATGCTTGCTGTTGCCAGGTAACAGTATGACGTCAACATGTCAACAAGTCAGAATATCGCGAGTATTACGATAAGAATTTTTCATGTTATTAAAAATGATCCCGGCTTTATCATGAAAGAGATGATATGGCATACCCCTAGGCGGTACTCCTGTCTGCTTCTCCAAAACTGGAGCGTGCAGAGCGCCATCTACTGAAGTTAATACACTGACTATGGATACGTACCTCATAAAACCGCACTTCAAAAAATCTGAACTATCCCTTTAAAAGATTTACTGTGATTATGTTGCCATATTTGAAAGAAAGTCAGGAGAGAAAAATGTTGGTATTGTATTGGACCTCATACTGTGCTTGACTGTGGGAATGACTGGCGTGACTGCACTGGACTTATTCCCCTATTTGTCGAACCATTGTGTGTAAAGTCTCAGCACTGGTGAAAGTGTTTTGGTAGAGTAGAATTCTTGTTTTTTCCATTGTGATGTTTGTAAATAAACTAACTGTACTTGATATCACGTTATTATTAACTGCCCCGTTTTTCAAAGATATATTTTGAGATATTACCTCATCGTGTTTGCTTTACCTGAATTAACCTCGAAACAATGTTTGCTGTTCTGTGAATTTTCTTTGTAATAAAAAAATATTTCAGAACATACAAAAAAAGAGAGGCTGTACTTTCCCTCAAAGTTTTGGTTAAATGAAATGACTCTTTATATATGTGTTTCACAAATAAATACAAACACAGCTACACCAGAACATGCATGTGAATTTAACTGTTAAATTTCAGTGCTAGCGCACATAACAAACTAATGGCAACACTGCCAGTAGGTTATACCTTAAACATACTTATTAAAACTACTTGAACTTCTACCCATAACAAGAGTTATCTATCACTATATAGCACTAAGCTTGGTTTTCATGTACCCACATCAAATACTGGTATACTTTTTGTCTGATTCATCTGAAGGTACCTCATGGTCAGACTTCACTGAGTGATTTGACCAGCGCCCTCATTTCTGCATCGCAGGCTTTGACAGCCTCCTGTGCGTTCCTCAGCTCTGACGGCAGGCCGGGTCTGACAGATACACACATCAGGACATCTCTGCTGCGGTCATAGTTTCCCACACAGCGGTGAACTTGACCACGGATGAGACGGGGCAGCTCCTGCTCCTGTGAGACAAGAGGCAGAAATGAAGATTAAGTCCAGTCAGATTGTCAGGGTGTCAGGGGCAGGTTATGTTTCCTGGTCCCAGAAAACTTTACAGGTACAATATGAAACTTTTCTGCATTAAACGTCTAAAAACAACAAAACCTATGTTTTATAGTTTAGTAAGCTGTGTACTTAATGTTATCCCAAACATTTCCAACAACATTCAAAACCAGAGAAATCTGTAATTTTAATCAAGGGCATGGTCCGTGTCATTTGGTCGCCCTTGGTCCCTTTTGTGCATGCGTCAAGGTTGTTGTCTGCCAGAAGCTGTCATGAATTGATTATTTATCCAGTTTGAAGCCACATGTTTAGGATAAACATTTTAGATCTAGGTCATTTTAACTGTATGTTTTAACCAAATGGATGATTTTAGTTATCAGACATCTGGATCTGGAGTTATTAGAGAAACAAGCTGAACGAACTTTAGTGGCAACTGGGCTCCAGCCCCTGCTGTGCCAAACAGCATCGGAGGAACACTGTTTTTTAACATGAAACTGCTTTATTCAGTGTTTTTACCAGTTTAAATCCCTGGATCTGTTTGTTTGGGGGAGGGAGAGACCTCTGTGGATAATTCAGTTCCCAGTAAAAACCTCCTGAACGTCTGGATCGTAAATGTTCAGAGAAAAAAGGTGAGCACACATTGGCTGGAGCTGGGCGAGCAGCCTCTCTGCGATAAGCCTGACAGCAATGGAGTAACACTGATTTTTTAAAATGTGAAACTGTTTATTCAGTGTTTGTACCAGTTTAAATCAACTGATCTGTTTGTTTTGGAGATGAAGAGACCTCTGCAGATACTTGAGCTTCCGGTAAAAACCTCCTGAACAATGAACACTGAAGGAAATCTAACCAGGAGAAACTGACTGCAATGACAGCATTGTTCCATCTTTTGTTACTGGTTTGATTGAGAGACCCCTGGCGGCAGAAAATTACATTTTGTATGTTTGAAGGGGTTGTTGAAGTAGCCTAGTTACTTATTTTGCAACTCACATTTTCATAGAAGACGCACTGAACAACCTCTCTACCGTCTCTCATGAGGAAGTTCTTGGCTCCGTGACAACCCAGAGTGACTGCAGAGTCGAGAGTAGCTGAGGGAAGAGCACAGCCTGTCACTTTGATGGTGTTTAAAAATACAGTGACCATCAGAGACAACAGCAAGTTCCAATCCACTGACCAAATATCTCAAATAAGTACGGGACTTTGTCCTTAAACTGACTCCAGTGTCTCATGCCATCAATAACTGCGGTCAGGATCCTTAGTGAGTTTTCCATGGCTGGCTTTTCTGGAAGTGTGCCCTGCTAAGCACAAATACAAATAATGCAGTGATCACAACTATACCATGAAACATTAATGGCACATTTTGAAATCTTTGTACATTATTAGATATTTTCCACTTATTTTTCTACCTGAGTTTGTCGCACAGTCTGACATTTATTTGTGCTCCTGTTTCCTTGAAACGGGGATCTCTGTGGCCCAAAGCTGTTAGTAAAGTTCCAGGAGTTGCTTTGTGGCTGTGCTGCACAAGCAGAGGGCCTGCTGGGTGGTGGGACAGGAGCGGGCGCAGGTCTCTGTGTGGGATTGGGGGGCCTGTAAGATGACTGCTGTCCCATCTGAGAGAACCCAGTATGTGGTGTTGCCTTGTTTTGTGCACTCTCCCTGATGTGTGGGGCTTGATAGTTGCTCTGTCTGGAGTTAACACCGGGGCTGAAATCCTGTTGTCTCACTGAGCTGCTGGGCTGTCCCATCTTAGAGCTGAAAATAAATATATATATATTTTCACATGCTGTGATCTAAAATTAAAATACCTGTCACATGTCACACCGACTTTTTAAACCTTTGATATTTAAACATTTTATTATCTTTGGTCTATGTTTTTATGCGTTGTCTGTGCTAGCCAGGTGCTCTCTCTTTGGTCATGAGCAAATTATGTTACAGTAAAATCATGGCTCAAACTGACAACTTGTTTGCTCGCTGCTGCAGCAAGACACAAAACTGTGGTGTCCATATTTCTGTAATCTTTTCCAACTGTGTCTGGATGGTAAACTTTCATTATGTTACAGTTCATTATTTGAGTACATAAACATGCAAAAACAAAACACACACACACACACACACACACACACACACACACAAAAGGCTTGTGGGTGATTTGTGATTTTTCAGCATTTTTTGTTGTTAAAGGTATACTATGTATGTGTCAGCTTTTCTCTTTGATTTGTTTTGCCTGAACCTTGTTTCTCTGTGCCTCAGATCCACACTCACTGGTCACCGTTTGCCAGCCACTCCAGTCTGCCAACTTGTTTCCGGCCCAGCTCAGCCTACCTGTCCTGTTTCTCCCGAGTGCCCTGGATCAACCTAAGACACCCCTTCTTGCTTTATTGAAAATAAATCCACTTTAAACTGAACAGCTGTCTGAGTAACACTTTTGGGTCCAGTTCTCTCTATACCACACGATAATACATGCCAAAGTAATCCCCCTCAATTATAATTTAATTTTAGCTGTTAGGAACATTCCTGGGCACAGCATGCAGGTGAAGTTAGGACTTTGTAAAAAGGTAGTGTCCAGGTGCCAGACCGTACGGGGTTGGCTTTCACTTTCGCTGGTGATACTGTTCACAGACGGTAACCGACAATTCCTGCTCAGTATACTTTTAATGTACTGTCAGAAATGGGTCACACCACTGACCGTCATACTCATGGTCACAAAGTCAATGAAACGTACCTTGTGCCTCCAGCTTTGTACGGATGTGGTACAGGTGTATAGGTTCTCATTGCAGGGGCAGGCCCAGGAGCAGGCCTGTTGCTGCCATACTGCTGGGGTGGAGTAGATTGAGGGATACCCTGCCTGTTCCACTGGTGGCTTTGTGGAGCACCAGAAACGGGACCAGAGGCCTGGTAACACCCATAGGTACCTGAAGAAAGGTAGGAAAATCTTATGGTGGCCTCCACTGTCTGTAGCTTTGTTTCTTAATCAATGGGAAGACATTTTATAATGTTGTTCTGTTTTATGTTAAAAGGTGTCAGTTGTGTGATTTAGCAGGAGATGGTTATTTTGAGCATTTTAAAAAATGTAGTTAGATGCCATGTAAGAGTGAAAGTGCTGAGGGTCAGATAGAAGAATTAAGATCACTGTCTACTTAAAGTGCCTTTATATTTTGCTTAGGGTGTGCTGCCACCTAGTGACTACAATGCACTACACTAGAAGCTTCAGGAGCCTAACTGGCTGCTTCACCTGATGTGCTGAGAGATGCAGCTGAGCTGGTGCTTGCCGTGTATTCACTGTGGGAGAAGAATTCATTCTCAGAGGGAGCAGATGTCAAAGGAATTCTGTTTCTTTTCTTCTGGTTAAAGAGCGGCACAGACAGGCAGCCTGATGGGAGACAGCAGAGGAAATATATCTGAAAATATTCAAATGCTCAGTCGATTAGCCCTACAAAAAAATTCTCTTTAACAATACTACAAATTTACCAACCAGAGGTGGTAGAAGTACTCAGATACTTTACTTTAGGTAAGTAAAAGTAGTAATACCACACTGTTAAATACTTTGGTACTAGAAAGTATATAGTATAGTATAGTATAAAAGTAGTAGTGTCAAAATAGACTTAAAGTATCATAAGTAAAAGTATTCATTATGCAGAATAAGCCCACTACAGCATAAAATATATTATATAATTCATAAGTGCCGATGTGTTCATCACTTTAATGTTGCAGCTTGTGAGGGTGGAGCTCATTTTAATTACTTTATTTAGTGCCAGGTAGCTTCACCTACAATAGTCCATCATGTTTATTGTAGGTGATAATATTTTGTATAAATAATAGTAATCTGCAACATAACTAAAGTTATCAAATAAATGTAGTGGAGTCAAAAAGATGTACTGTGGTGTTCATATAAATTGGCACAAAATGGAAATGCTCAACTAAAGCACAGGTACCTCAAAATTGAACTTCAGTAAAATACATGGGTAAATGTACTTAGTTACTCTCCAGCACTGTTACCGACATAATACTATAAGTAGCTACTATAGATTCTTTCTTTGGGTATGGTACCGCACCACAAAAAGCAAACTGGAACCACTATTTTAGGATATTTAAATAATATTATATGGCAACTAAAAATGTATTTAAGAAGTCCTTCATCCCAAGTGCCATCAATATCCTTAAATCAACAAAGTGACTGGTAAGTTTTAAAGCTGATTTAATGTGTTAAGTGTTTTGTAATGACCTTGTATGTTTATTTTACTGACTGTCTGCTTTTTACTTTGTTGTCGCTTGTGTCTGGTGAGTCGAGGACAATTTTCCATCCCTGGTGTACATTAAAGATATATCCTATTCTAAAAATACACTGTAGAGCAAGCAGAGCCCCCTTTTATTTTATTTTTTTAATCTAAATCACAATACACTGATCACTGAACCTGGCAAACTATTAATATGAGTTGAATAAATATACAGGTATGAGTATCATGAAGTGAAAACAAACCTGCTGTTGGCCTGGCTGGCTGGGTTTCCTGTCTCCTCATTACGATCAGCTCATCCAAGTAATGTTAGCGGGTGGTATTAGCTAACTTACAGAAAGACATAAACCAAATGAAATGACAAAAAAGGAAAAGACCTTAACAGTGATGTCCTGGTAAGTGCTGGTCAACTAAATGGTTCTAAAATATGGGGGAAAGTGGTGGGTTAAACCAGCTTATGTTTTGGTGTTTTGCTAGTTTAGCAACAACTGTAACATTAAGCTAAAGTAGTTGGCTAACGTTAGCTAAAAAGCTAGAGTTACATTTTAGACAGCTTATCAAGCTAGCTACAGGCTACCTAGCAATCATTACAGCTATAATGTACAGCTAAAAGTTGTAAATATTTTTTCATTTACTAGTCCAGCATATTTTATAATTTTATAAATTAATTTATAACTTACTCTGAGTTTTTTGTTGTTGTTGGGGGAAAACGAAACGTCCTTTAGCTAACGGTTCAGCACCTTGGAAAGCGACACGCGCCAAAAGTTACTGGTGACCTATGTTGCCTTCATGTTCCCCACAGCAAGCTCGGAGATCATAACGAGAGTCGGATTGCATTCAAATACTTTTGGTCGAAATATGTTTTTTTGGTAAATGACAGCCTTTGTCTGTGGTGCCTTTTTAGAGTGATGGAAAAATATTTTAGGCACATGTTACTGATGCCTCATATTAAGCATATTCATTGTGTGCATCACCTCCATCATTTGATGACATAACTTCAATGTTAGTTTTCACACCCTCCCAACCTTTATACCACTCTGTTTGGGATGACTGAGAAAGACCAAAAATCAGGTTAGCAATTATCATATGCATATAATGTAATCACTGGGTCCTCAATAGGGGGTCCGAGACCCCAAGGAGGTCTCAATTTATTGCTTGATCATTTTCCCCCCCTTTTCAATAATTAATATAAACTAAGCACAAAAAGTAAGAAGATTTGTGTTTGGTAGATTATTTCTTTGTTGTAACATTGCTTCTTGGCAATATATCTTATACTGTTGGAAAGCCTGTTTATTTCCCTTTTAAATGGTGCCACATTTGTAAGGAACATGCATTTGTGGGATGAGCAGCAGAGCTGAGTGAGTGGGTTACGCCCATGAAAAATTAGCCAGATCTTCTCTGCCAATACCAAACAGTTTTTTTGTGCTTGTATTTGTGGAAGGTGTTTCTTCATATTTACAGATTACACATTAACACACCGATTGTTGATCTGTTCACACAAATAATATTGAGACAAATCTATTTCCATAGAGGTCAAGACTGCAGCCCAAGGTTGGTATGGCTTTCTGCCTGATAACCGTCATCTGCCAGGTTTAATATGCAATGCAGTTTTATACTATATATTTAGTAGGGGGTCCCTGCTCCGTCTCTGTTTCAGCTAAGGGGTCTTTGGCCTGAAAAACGTTGAGGTCCCCTGACGTAAGCAGGAAGTATTTGGCCAGCACTCAAAGTTATAAACATCCTAATAATGAAAAACCATATTCTTTAGTAAATAAGAATAGTTTTATTGATATAGGACCTTAATCTTGCGCCTTTCATTACAGTGAGGTTAGACTTTAACTGAGCAGTTGACTGGCCAGGTCTCAGATCAACGTTATTTAACTTAACTGGTCACTCTTTAGACTGTTATGTGTAACTAGTGATTAACCATTCCTCCTCTTGCTCGCAAGGAGCAAAAAATAACTAACCACACACAGCCAACTAGTTGTTTTACCGGAACTGTCAATAACAAGGTTAAATTATTCAGCGTGTCTTTGAAGAATGTTCGTGAAAATCTAAGGAAAATACGGTGATTTGTCCGAGGACGCTAAGTTTCACTTTGCACATAGAAAATTTTTATCAAGATCACAATACTTGAAGCCTTACCATCCATATATGATAATGAAAGAGGCATATGAAATACCTTATATAACCAAGTGAAGTAGGCAGAATGAGATAGATAGAGAGCAGACAGAGATGTAAATATCATGAGCGCAGACAAAGCAGTTACACTGGGGCCCATGGGACGAGGGTGCCCATACAGAGAGCAGCCCCTCCAACAGCATGTTGGCCAGAGAACAGGCGCTTGTAACTCATTCTGAAATACACCCATGTTCAAAGAAGAACTCAGGTTAGATTTAGAAAGGAGGGGTCAGTAGCAGTCTATTCCACAATGAAATTATGTATTTGCTTTACATAAACTATAAAACCAAATCAACTACAAAAAATATTTAATTGTATGAGTACTTTCTTATTTTTTTTATTTATTTATTTATTTTTTTCATTTACAGATTTGCACTGATGGTTGCTGGGTAATATACTGTATATGTTGATGTTGTCCAGTGTCAAGTCGTAGCTAGTTTAGATGCAGAATCTTGCACTAGGGCCCATCATAACAACGTGCACTGGGGCCCATCCTAACTACCATACACTACTGGCAGACAGTAGGGCATCTGAGACTTCCAATTTCAGCTCTTGACACAAGTGTCAGCCTTTCTTTCTCATCCCTTATAGGATCCCTCTCGCCACAGGAAAACACAATCTGCACCTAGATCCTTATCACACAACTGGAACCCTGTAAAGGAGACATTCACATGTTCTTCTCATTTGTTACAGTCGTGGTATGGCTGCAATGCTCTGCTCACACTTAGCCCTCACTTGACTTCTCATGGTGTTTCAGGAGATGAATGAAAGTAAACAGAGAGAGATGGAGACATCTTGTTGGAGAGTCAATAAGGAGAGACAAGGGCAAAGGCAACACACCTACCAGCTCTGCCCTTCGTTTTGCACAGAGCCCAAGGCTAAATCTCAGCCTCAGCACGTCTGTGTGACATCCTCTCTGAGAGTCCGTAGACCAGTCTTTGATCCTAACACACATGGAGTCTCTGTCTTGCGTTTCCTCTGTCGGCGAATCCATGGCAACAGCAGTATGAACGGTCTATTCAGGGTGGTCTCCACTAAACCGTTTGCCTCTGAGAAGCTATGCTTCAGCAAACATTTTGTATAAGTGATTAGACTTTATTCCAGGTGAGAAACAAAACAGCTGCTACCTGAATCCTCTGAATCTCTTTCATTTCTGCTCTGGAGTCCAAAACAAATTATTCAGTTACTGAGTCATGATTGCTGCAACACCACTTATGTTCTGATGTAATAAAAATATGACATCTTTACGGGTTTTGTTTGTGCAGTGTCTTTTAAAAGTAGACCATGCTATTACTGTACAAAGAAATTGTACAGATGTATAGCACACTGTGAGTCGGTGCTGGTGAAGTCAGAGTAACAGAAACCTACATTTGGTCCCCTGAACCGCAAATCCTACGACCTTCAGTAAATGAAACCCATTTATTAATTTTCCAGTACTGTATATGTCCATGGCAGCACGGTGGTGCAGTGGTTAGCATTGATCCCTCACAGCCCAAGCTTTCCCGGTTCAAACCTGGATATTTATTTTATTTTAGGGCTATACCCAAAAGACATTAAGTATGCTAAAACAAATAATGATAGCTTTGTCTTCTGCACTCCAAAAAAACAGATTGCAATGTTTTGGAAGAAGACTAACAGACAAATTGGATTAGACAAATGCAAATAACTTTTTTTTTTTTAAGAAAAAGTAATGCACGTATGAAAAGGGAAACAGGAGGTGCATTACGAATTGCATACTTTTTCCTTTTACTTTTAGTAGGTACTGCAGTTACCCTTACCCAATCAGGACGTACTACTTCCTCATAACAATACGTCCTGAACTTTGACCCACTTACTGATATATCTGTTACCATGGAGATAAAACAAAATGCTGTTCATCGAGCGCGCCATAAGTTATGACTGCATACACTGTAGATTCTAACATATTATATTCACAATAGCAAAATTTCAGAGGCTATACCTTTCTCTTTCATTGTTTTTTAATACTTATGGCCTTTGCTGTTGGTTATATTTGTTATTATTTTCTAAAATTAAACAATTAATATTCCTACCTGATATAGTAGAACATCCTGGTATTTCTGGCACACTGCATTTGACATAGCATGTATTGGGATATACTAAATCTTTTTCTGGCATACTATATAGTATGGTAGTATGGGTACTGGAACGCACAGAGGGTATGTTTGAAAGGCTTTAGGGACAATTTACTGTGTATGTGAAATGATGTTGAAGAGGAAGAATCAGTATTCCGTAATAGAATCCTTGCAGTATGGATAACTTGAGCTCAGTTTTTGTGAAGATAATGATGGAATTTAAATTCAAATAGACCTTTAGGACATATGTATGTACAAAATAAGGTTTTATGTCTGAGAGGTTGTTTCTTTGTGTTTGTTTGTGCCACAGTGTGTGCTTTAGTCGACCAGGCACCATTTGTTTCTTGTTACATATGTAGGTTATGTACACACGTATAAAGAGCATTTCTAACAAACATATTGTTTAAGAAAAAAAAAGGGGACACCTGGTTGTAATCCTCACTGGCCGCCTGTACCTGTACATCATATGATGAAAATTAAATATCATACAATGTTATATAATGATTGCAAATAATCTATTAATGACATCATATAACCAAATACGTTTCTATAAAAGCCCATACATGGTTTTACTCAGAGAGTATCTGTGTTTACACCCTACCAACTCTCAGATAAAGCCTGAAAGACTTAATGATTACCTGAATATGATCGTTTTGATGCTAAGTTGTTGATATTTGCCCTCTTATTTCCAACAATGAGAGCCACATGTACTGTTTCAAAGAGATGCTGTTTCTTTTCCATAGGCCTGTGCCATATTACCCTGCTAATTACTACATGCAGAATTAAAAAAAGACAGAAATATGAACCTTTGCAGATCTGTCATTGATCATGTCTTTAAATACTTAACATTATTATGGGAAGTTATGGTGTTTGATTCCATCAAAAACCAAAGAAAATAAGACAAATATTTGTTATAACAGATTTGATAATGATGTTGGCAACATGTTTTATCCATGAATGTAAATTTAGCAATAAAAAATATATATTTTATTGGTTTCTTAAAGGATGTTGAGCAATATGGGAAACGATTTTCTAATTAGACCAACATTAAGTAAATCAAGACACTCAGTAAGTGTATCTTTTATATTTTTTTGTTTCGTGTGATACTGCACCCCTGGCTCTTTTGATATTGCTCTACTTGCAGCAGTGGACAAAGCACCCAGATATTCTACAATAAGTGAAAGTAACTCAGTCCATAGGGACTTGGCTTGGGAACTGGAGGGTCGCTGGTTCAAGTCCCTGCCCGGACCAAAATATCGAGTGTGGACTAGTGGCTGGAGAGGTGCCAGTTCACCTTCTGGGCACTGCCAATGTGCCCTTGAGCAAGGCACCAAGCCCCCCCAACCGCGCCTGTACATGGGCAGCCCCTTCACTCTGACATCTCTCCATTTAATGTATGTAAAAAGGTCCTGTTTGTGCATGTGTGTGTGTATTTCGGGCCTGTGTATGTATATGACAACAGAGTGAAAAGACTGAATTTCCCCCTTTGGGATTAATAAAGTACATATACAGTACATATATATATATATATATATATATATATATATAATTTTACAAGTTAAAGTCCTGCATTCAAAATCTTACTTAAGTAACAAAAGTAGAGTTTTATAATCAAAATACAGGCTACTTAAAGCACCACATGTAATAGTACTTATCGTGCTATCAAGATAATGTTTATTATTTTAAAGGATTATAATTATTGATGCATTTAATGTGCTCATCATTTTAAAGCTACAGCTGATAAAGGTGGAGCACATTTAAATTGTTTATATGCTGCTGGGTGGTTTAATCTAATACATGAACTCCTAACAGTCACAGAGTGGCAGGACAAAAAACACTTGTATCCTTGTATATTGTATATATTTTTTATTATATTTTTTGTATACTGCATATTTCTGTATATTCCAACTCTTGACTAAATTTTGAGTACTTATGTCAATTCTGGTACATTGAAAGGAAGTCCACCGGAGTCAAATTCCTTGTATGTACATACGTACTTGGCGAATAAAGCTGATTCTGATTCTGATTACCATTCATTTGTTGATTTATGTTTTGTATTTTTGAATATGTAAAGTAGCTGATGACTAAAGTTATCAAATAAATGTAGTGGAGTAAAAAGTACAATAGTTCCCTCTGAGATAGTGGGGACTATAAAGCAGCAGAAAATGGAAATACAAAAGTAAACTACAAGTACCTCAAATTCTAAATACAGTACTTAAATAAATAAATGTACTTAGTTACATTCCATCACTGTGTATTTGTAGACTATCCCCTGCATATTGAATCCGGCTATGATCTTGAACTACCTCATCTGTCTCATAGTCAGCTCTGCATAGTTTGGAGAGCATGTAACACAATCTTGTGTAATATATATTTTCCGTCATGTTCTGGAAGTTTCAGTCACCGGGCTATTTATTGTCCCACCGGGCCGGGTAAAACGATAACCTGAACGTTGAGTACGGCTTTCCGACAACCCAAACTGGCAACCTGCATGTTGTTCAGGGGGAGGCGCTAGTCCGCAGTAGTTTCTGGAAGGAACCTCATGCTTGCACCATGGAGAAAGTGAGTGTCCTGCAACCATTTTCATCATTAAAATAATTATTATTATTAATATTAAACCTACCTGTTTAAAACTACCGATGAGTTAGTTTAATTTTGAGTCTCTTTTCGAGAATAATCTGGAGGTCAGCGAAGTTAGCACGCTCTTAACACTGGGACTTTACTATTTGCTAATACCAGACAGCTAGCTAGCTTGTTAGCTTAGCGTCAATCCGGTAGTAATGTGTTGTAGCTGTTTGGCTGATGTTGTCTGATTGGGCTTGAGGTTGTTACAGCCAACACAAGGTATTTTAACAACGCTGCTATACTACGTAGCTAAACTGTATCAAAATAGTGCAAACTTAATGTGCGGCTGTGGCTAATTTATGATAGCACACGGCAAGGTTAGCTAATAGTTGAGCTAACGGCTATGACTTTACATTTGCCACTACTGCTTCATCACTGAATGTATCTCAGTCTGGTTTGGCTGTTTGTGTAGCCCCTGTCCATGCCTCAGTATAACAAAACAGCTTGCTAACTGCTAGCAAATGACCGGCAAGTTAGCACATCACTGTGTCACAGCTAACATGGGTACACAATGTGAGCGCTATCATTACTGGGGGGTGACGGGCAAATGAAAGCCACAATTAAGCCAGTAAGTGAATCCCTGCGTTAAAGTGTTGTGTCAGGAGACCGACAGCTAAACTGCGGCAGTCTGTCAGTAGCACATGCTGCGGGAGTATTTTTGGAAAGGCTTCGGCGTTGTCCTAAGTCCCATGCACTCACACCGGAAGATCATTCTAGATGCACACGGCGCCGCTGTCATGGCTACAGCAGCATTTTGTCGTCAATTGCCGTCCTCTTGCACACTTCTGCAACCGGGCACTTCAAGTATCATTGTATATTCCTTCATCTTGAGACAATACCACTGTGTAAAAGTAATCACAGGTACATGCACGAGCTTATAAGGCATCATTACTTGTCTGGTAACACCTCTAAACATCACCAGGACGTCTGCTAGTCCGTAAAAAGCCAAATAAATTGAATTTTTATAAATATGAGGCCTTAAAAGTCATTGAATACTATTAAATTAATTCGTGAGGTCTAGATTGCAACAAACATTATATCAAATAAAGTACAAAGTACAAATCAACCTAACACTGTGCCTAATACTGTCTTTTTACTTTATACTTTAACTTAATGTCATGGTCCTGACTGATGCCCACTACCACTGCTATTATTACTAGTCATACTTCCACTATTATTATACACATATGACTATTATTGTCACATACATATGCTATCATATCCTCCTGAGGCCCCAGCTGTTGTTTGGTATGCATTTTCCATTTCTCCAAATTATATGGGAATGTAGGACGTGATAAGTATAAAAGAAACAAAGCATTGCCTTTTGAACAGGAAGTAATTTCTGGTTGGGTGGATGTCCTCATATGGGGACAATGGGTTTATTTTTAACAGTCACAAGCGTGTAATAAATTATTAAACTGTTTATTCCAAAACCTAAACATTTGTAGTGCTTAGAGCACTCGTCTTCCATGCGGAAGGTCTGGGGTTCGAATCCTGCTGGGGTCGACGTCAGCAATGGCATGCGGTCGCAAGAGGTTCCCACCGCCGAATCAAACAAGGATCATATTCCTTAAGGAGGGCGCATCTCAAGCCTGTTGTAAACGGGAGGTTCCAGATGTAAAAACATATTAATTCCAATACCTAAACATTGTTGTGCAAAAAAAAAATTACAAACTATGCACCAACTATTTAATGTGTTGTAACTGCATGGGTTAGAGGTCACTGTTCAGGTGCAACATATCTAAAAGTCTTGTGATTTGTTTGTTTTGTAACTGTAAATTTTCCCAGCTTCATACTTCGGTCTACAAATGTCCTTTTTGTCTGTAGGGACAGTCTGTCACACATGATTGGCCTGTATGAAATGCTGGGATAGTACAATAATAACATCCCTGTGTCCTCAAACGAGTACTTCCTAATTGGCAGCATTTTAGCTTGTTACTATTACTTTAATTGATAATTTGTGTGCCATATCAAACTACAGACATAAAATTTGATCAGGTTTTGTAGCTTGTCCACTTTTGTGTCGGGACTGAGCAGAAAAGTGTCCGCAAATGAGGACAACGGGTTTAAAGCTATAGTTGGTAATGTTGGAGAGCTAGCAAGATTTGAAAGCGGCACCTCCTCTAAGCTCCACCCCCTGCTCCCCCTCCCGTCAGTGCTCCATCCAAAGCCACGAGCCCAGACATGCCTGAAAGCGCATCCTGCTGTCAGCAGAGCAGAGGAGAGCCGAGTAAAATAACAAATCCCCCCAAAGCAAACAAATAATTACCTGTCCAACAGAAAGACAGCAACTTCTGCATCACTTTTCAGGCCCTTCAGCTCCCTCAGTTGTCTCCACTGTTCAAAAGCTGGACTGCTGTTGATGTCTGGTTTGTCCTCTCACTTTATCCAAAGCCTTTTTTGTCACAGCCTTTTCTGCCTCTAACTTTCCTTTCTCAGCCTGTTTAGTGGGGCGAGCCGTTACAAATAACACTGGAAGTGGTACTTTTGGCTGCATTTTCTCTGCCATTGTGCAGCAAACTCCTGCTTACTCAGTATTTCTGCTGAGGAGTGTGCTGAATATTTCCGGCAAGGGTGACATGTGATGAGTGCGCGCAGGGAGGAGGGAGGGAGGGACAGAGTGGGGCTCAGGCAATACGAGACATGAAGGCATCTGATTGGTTCTTTCCATTCACACCGAATGGCAGGGATTGGTCAGAGTTTTTACAGGCCTGTAGCTGCCACAGAGGTCTGATTATGTTCATTCCTTTTTCTGAACACATTATGTATTGACTACTCTCAAGATGGAAGGACCATTTTACCCAGTATAACAAAAAGTGTTTCTGAACAGGATTACCAACTATAACTTTAAGTTAAGCAGAATTAAGTATAATGGGCAGGAAACCCAAAATGAAATGTCCTGATGTGAGGATGCAGGGTCTCAGGAGGATAAAATAATATTTACTTACAACATATATGCTACCATAATACTATTATAATTCTATTATTACATATTTGCTCTGCATCTCTCTCTGTTACTGTCTCTCCTTATGTATCATTTTGTCATGGATCACTGTAAATGTATTATGTTGATCTGTTCTGTACACACGACATCTATTGCACGTCTGTCTGTCCTGGAAGAGGCATCCCTCCTCAGTTGCTCTTCCTGAGGTTTTTACAATTTTTTCCTTAGCTGCTGTGAGGGTCTAATGACAGAGGGATGTTGTATGATGTAAGGCCCTCTGAGTCAGATTGTGATTTGTGATATTGGGCTTTATGAGGAAAAACAGAAAATAGAATTGAGCTTACCTGTTCCCTGAATGTAGATTAACCCAACTCACTATAATAACCTTATTCGTACATAATACTTACTCTGGACAGGACGCCATATACAGCGTACTACTTGCTCTTATACTTGGTAGCAATGCTTTAATAAGAAAAAGATCATTTTCCCCAAAAAACAACTATTACATACAGATAAAAAATATTCTAAAGGCCTTAAAAACATTACATCTGTCTCATATCTATAGACACCTTGATTACAGGAAACCAAAACGCTCCGAGATCTTCCATAACACTGTTAGCCAAAACACCCTGAAAAGCTCTTAAAGATATACTATGCAGGAATTTCCTAAAACACAATGTTTTGACTAATGCTGAAGTAATCCCTCTCAATCATCATTTGTGATCCATTCTCAGTGTGTGGGGACTCTGCCCTCATGTGCACTAGTATCGTCAGGGTTTTATAAAAAGGGAGTGACAAAGTGCCAGACCATAAGATGCACGCATCCAAGAGACAATCAATCAATTACCCTGTAACACCAACAACCACTGTACATCACTGTACCTGTAAATTATATTTATAATTTATCACTGACAATACGAAAATAAGCATGCTGTATATACTGACAGTTCCAGCTACCTCATTTATGTAAAGCGACCTGTTTAACAGTTACATTAATAATTCCATATTAATTCCAGCACCCTTTGATGCACCATTGCATTGTCGCCTGTTCAGCTTTGTTGTTGTTTTTAACTCTATGTCTATTTCTGTTTAAGCGCATCAGCAGTAACAATAAACGAACGTTTCTAGACAGACTGTCTCTCAGTTTAAATTACCCTAAGCAACTAATGATGTGATGGTCTGAGCAGAGACAGTGCTTATTTTCTGAAACTGACATTTTAAAAAGTGGGGTCGTCTTTGGTGGATTTAAACCTTCCTGCTCTGAGGCAACAAGCTAACCCCTGGGTAATCTGTGGGCGCATTCACACTGGGATAGTCCAGCAGGGACTCGGTTCAATTGGGCGGGGAATGCCGAAAAATTTCACACCTTCGGTTCACTTTCACACTGCACTTTTTAAAGCGGACCAAACCGCCTGGACAATGTCATGCAGTTACAAGAGCTGCTCGTTTGGGGGCTGTATTGCCCAAAACGACCACTGACCAGGAAGAAAAAAAGCATGAGAAAGGAGAAAACCCGGCTCATCAATTGGCCATGACTGAAAACTGAAATCCATCCCCTTCAGTCGGCTTGGTCACCACAAAAACAATGGAGCAACACCGAAGTTAAGCAGTCTTGGGGTACGCGCTTGCACCTCCTCACTATTCCACGTCTGCCCACGAGACATTGTTCAACTTTTTCTTTTTTTAACCTCTGCTTCTCCCAGTTCGCGCTATTGACTTTGTTTTATTCTCCCCAAAATGCACTGTGCTTTACGTCACTTCCTCTCTTTGGTTTGCCGGATAGTCCGTTTGCATTTCCCACTTTAGGCAAACCGCACCAGTTTTCACTTGCAAGTGAACCAAGACCTCCAGTTTTCAAGCGGACCAGAGTTCATCATTTGGTCTACACCAGAGTTCGAACGAGTGTTTACACCACTCCAAACGAACTAAACTATCCGTGGAAGCAGACGTGGGTTTCAAGTGGACCAAATAGCACCAGTGTGAATGCGTCTTTATATTTAGAGTAGTTTGCACCTGGAGGATCCTCAATGTACATTCACGAAAAATACATTATCTGTCAGCACCACTGAAGCACCTGTCTGACATGAACAGCTGAGTGTTTCTTTTTTCAGCTCTGCCAGCAGCAGCTGCAACAGCTGTCTTCTCTTTAGATGGATCGAGTGATAGAGAACGTGGAGCAGGAGAGCTGTAGTATTGTGAATTCGTCCTATAATGTTATGTTTGATTATATCCTCCTGACCTGTAGGTTTCAGCACTGAAAGACCAGGGCAACAAGGCGCTGAGTGCAGGGAACATTGATGAGGCTGTACGTTGCTACACCGAAGCATTGGCCCTTGACCCTTCAAACCATGTCCTGTTCAGTAACCGCTCAGCTGCCTACGCCAAGAAAGGCAACTATGAGAATGCTCTCCAGGATGCCTGTCAGACCATCAAGATAAAGCCTGACTGGGGCAAGGTGAGAATGTTCTGTCATTTTTCAGTTTATAAATTGTGCAGGGATTAAAATTGCGAAGACAATCTAAAATCTCTCACTTTCTCAATCAACCAGGGCTACTCCCGCAAAGCTGCAGCATTGGAATTTCTTGGCCGATTGGAGGATGCCAAAGGAACCTACCAAGAGGGACTCCGGCGAGAGCCAAGTAATCAGCAGCTAAAGGAGGGTTTACAGAACATCGAGGCTCGGCTTGCAGGTAAAAACTGTTGAAGTGGTGATGTACTTTATCCTACAGAAAAGGTGGCATTATGATGTAAAAACCGAATGACTCACTTTTCCCTCCTACGTGGGTGGAAGATTGAGAGAATACTGCCGACAGGATCACTGAAGTAAAATCACATTGTGAGTGTTTAAGTTTTCAAAAGGAGAGTGGGCAGTCCACTTGGGTTTTGAGTGTTGTGATTCATTCAGACAACAAACAAGTAGTAGGGATTACAGATGAGAGAAAACTCTGCTAAATTTAATCCTAGACTAGTGTAAGATGTGTTGGCATCAGGAATGCAGCTCTTGATTATTTATTGACGGAGTATTCTACAGAATAATCCATCAGTTAATCAGGTTATCAGATAAGAAATAATTTTGCTTTATCAAAGAGCAGCAGTAAATACAAAGAGAATACAAGACAAGTTTTGAATGAACAATTAATTGATTTCATTTTTGAGAAAAATCAACATTTTTATTGCTTAAATTGCAAAAAATGATTGGGTTCCAGTTGCTACTTACACCACCTGGTGTTTTGATTTTGGGGGTATTTTAAGCATCGCTGTGAGCAGTGTACTGTAGGTATGTGTGACTCTTGATAATAACATGAGTGAAGCTCAGGCTTTCACAAATTGACTGTGGCTCTGTTTTTTCTGTGGTAATGTTTTCAAGTTAGCCAACAAAAAGTTTTGCTACAGAAAATGTTTGTTTAAGGAAAACTACGTGCTGCTTGGGGCTCCCCACTCATCCTCTCTCTGGTTGGGGTCCCAGATGAGCAGGGTAATGTTGATGTAGGGCTGGGTGACAAACGACTGTGCGATATATCAATATAATTTCATGCAAGATATACATTTTGACAACACCGCTTATGTCGATGTAGGGTCAAGTTGCATTACATAACACATACCAGTGTGCATCTCTCCACTCTCACACTCTCCACAGAGCTCTGCCCCACTCACTTGCTCACAAGTTCTCCATCTACACTCAAAGAGACACAGAGCTGCTACTCTGTTTAATCTGTCTGTTAATTAGTCCACAGCATGATATCGGGCTAAATGTTGCACCTGCTAAGCTAAATCAGTCTGTGAGATGAATGAAATTACTGCAGTAGCACATGTGCAGTACAGCGCAGTGCTGCTAGTGTGTGTGTGAGGTGGATCATGGCAGGTCGCCGTTCTTCTTGGTAGTTGTAGTCTTGTGTGACCTGGAGACAGCGCCAGATGTATATAACATGGACATAGTGTCTCTTGCGCCTTCCCTCCCTTGGCTTCTCTGTTGATGCTGTGTGCATAAAAAGGATTAATAGCCTAAATAAATAAAAACAATTAAATCATTTTCCAGCACTATATTCATTTGAAAGGCCAACGGATGGTTAATGACTTTGTAACTCCTGTCACAGATATTGATGATTATTTCAGATCAGACGGATTTAGGCCGACTTGATACTTTAATAGTTGTGTTATAGTTTTGTGGCCTTTGCTGCAAACCTTTAAACCTCTGTAGCTCCAGTGCTGTGTGCAAAAGGTTAACCTACAGCCCTGATTTTTATTTTATATCATGTGTCATTTACATGTTGTGCAGCTGCGTATTTTCAAACTGGGAAAAAATCCCTGTCTTTGCATTTTATTTTGATCTCAGTCTGTTTTTATAAAAGTGCTTGTGACATCTCAAATGTGGCTTTGATTTGCAGCTGAAAACGTGCAGCCCATTTCATAGAAAATACCGAGATATATATCGTGTATCACCAGTCAGCCTGTAAATATTGAGATATGAACACTCATGTCCACAGTGTAAGCGCATTGTGTCACAGTAATAATTATCCATGTGAAGAAATAGTGCACTGTATGTAGTTCTAAGGATTAATCAAAGCTTCAATGCAAATAATTTTCATTAGCCATTTTTAGTATCAAGTGAATCAAGTTTCTGGAATCATTGTTTCACCTCTAGTTGGTATCCTGAGTGCTTCTGTGTGACCGTATGTATCACATTAATAATCACCGATTTTTGCTTTAACAGAAAAAACAATGATGAACCCCTTCGCCATGCCCAACTTGTATCAGAAGCTGGAGAGTGACCCTCGGACCCGTGAGCTACTGTCAGATCCCAGCTACAGAGAACTGCTGGAGCAGCTCAGGAACAAGCCATCAGAGCTTGGCACGTATGTACACTTTCAAAAATGTGTCAGTTTTAACAACATTCTGCTGTAGGGAGAAGTTTTCTCTTCAGGGCTTTCTGTCAGAAAGGGATTTCTTGGTTAAAGTAAAGAAAAACATGGTGGTTTGGGTTAAAACAAATTGATTAGAATAGAGAAAGGCCCTGAAGACAAACTTCTCCTATGTGCCAACATTCTCTGATTTAAGGCAAACGGATTATGTCTTGAGGCAGGACTCCAAAAACAAAAAGATGATTTTTTTTTGGGTAGAATTGCAGTAAAAGATTACACAGTATTTCTAGGCCCACTGTCATTCTGCATTCTCCTGATATTATGATTCATAGTCATTAGAATGTGTAATACTGAAAAGTGACCAAAATCTAAACTATTGGATCTGTAATGAAACAGAAGTTAATCTGGAAACATGCAGTATCCCTGAATCTTGTGGTATTAGAGATGCATTTCTTTGCCTGACTGTTTTGCAGGAAGCTGCAGGACCCCAGAGTGATGACCACCCTCTCTGTGCTGCTGGGACTGAACCTCTCTGAGATGGAAGAAGACGAGGAGCCCACTCCACCTCCTCCCCCCAAACCCAAAGAGACTCAGCCACCACCTCCCAAAGAGGAAGACCTTCCAGAGAACAAGAGAAAGGTAAAAAAAACAAAAAAAAACAAATATGATTGACTTGTTCATCATACTTTTTACTTTTAATGAGTTTTAAGACATTTTCTGATGAAGCCTTATTCTGAGCTACTTTTAATCCTCTGATTTCATTTTTTTCTTTTCTCAGGCCTTGAAGGAAAAGGAACTCGGGAATGCTGCGTACAAAAATAAGGACTTTGACACAGCGCTGAAACATTATAACGAAGCAATCAAACACGACCCTACCAACATGACCTATTTATCTAATCAAGCAGGTACATATTCTTATATGCTGGAAAACAAATGCCAGCCTCACTCATTTGAGCAGATTGACACATAGACACATGATATAGAAGTGTATCATGTGTCTCATGTATAGAATTAATCTGGGCTGTCCACTGAGAGAAGTTTTGGGCTGGAAAAAATCTCCTAAATCAGACTTTGTGATTGGTTGGTGTTCTGCCACTTGGCTGACCATCACAAGTCCTCAGCTTGGAGGAAAAAAAATGTAATTGCCAGCAACACATTTAGATCTAAAGCTTAGGGGGTTTTGCAGAAAGCGATCAGCAAATGGGTTGTCAAATGTAGTAGCATCAATAGCGGGTTTAAAATGAAAAAATAAACACACACAAAAGATGCATGGGATGCTAAAAATACATGTTAATTAACCACCTGACGTGCAAACCACAAACTTTATGCATTATAAGCCCTGTTTCCACCAAACACTTTCAGTATGGTACCTTTGAAACCAAAGGTAACCCTTCAGACATGGTACCTAGACCCTAGTGTTTCCACCACAAACAGTACCCTTAAATGTGGGCAGCATTGTTGTCACTCACTGCTCCATCCAGCACTCACTGTGTTTCCTCATTACCGGTGACACAGAGGGAAGTCTGCACCTCGTTTATAGTCCACAGAACAAGTCTGCAAACCGACATTTTCAGAACAAAGTAGAACAGGCTGCAGTGAGAGTCTCTCTCCATGGGATAGTTGAAAATAGCGGGTTTGTGCATTTAGTCCTACTCAGGCAAGTTCATGGGTTTAGTGTTGCCGTTGCCCACAGGAACGGTGGTCTGCAACACTTTCTTTTCTCCAAGTAAGGATTAGAATATATGCAGTTCACATAACCCAGTCGAAATTAATATGCATAAAAGATCTACCATTACTAAAAGTGTCTGTCATCCAACAGAGACAATAAAAATTAATGGAACGGTCAAAGTTCTCATCGTCACGTTGTCACCTCATGCATTGAGTAACATTACAAGTTAAAATTCCATTGTAAAAGTTGCTGGCAGCCAGCCCAGTGAATTAAATTATTAAATTATTATTACAGCTGCTGCAAGAGGTAGCAAAAAATTATTTCAATTTATAGCTACAGTCTACTTATATATGTAAAACTTTCCACAGTATGAACAGTGGTTACATGAGCCTTAAACCAGCCACAACTCAGCCCTTAGCAAGAATGACGATTCGCTATTGCCTGCAGTGTTCACAGCTCCACCTTTTGGTACCAGATCTGTGTGCTAGGTACCCCAACAGAGGGGGGACCAAAAATGGGGACGGTACGGAACAGTTCCATCGGTACCATCCACAATTTTTCACAGTGGAAACGAAAAAAGCGTACTGAACTGTACCGTACTGCTCAGTGGAAACAGGGTTTTAAATTACTGATAATAGACTCGCATCCGATACAAACAGGCGAAACATCTGTTAAAAAAAGCTGTGTTGGACTTTGAAAGTAAAATATGTTCTCCTTTTTGTTATTTCTACAGCTGTGTACTTCGAGAAGGGAGATTATGACAAGTGCCGAGAGCTCTGTGAGAAGGCCATTGATGTTGGCAGAGAGAACCGGGAAGACTACAGACAAATTGCTAAGTGAGTTCTGGAAGAAGTGTGAAAAGTATTTGTCTTTTTTTTATCTACCCACACTGCCCCTCAACCTAGAGGGCAGGGCTGGTATTTTTTGGGTCTTGCTGGAATATATTTATTCATTTATTTATTTACTTTGTAGTCTGGATGGGAAACGACATGCAGCTAACCAGTATGAGACCAGAAAAACTGTTATACAACAACCATTAGGTGGCACTGTTGCTGTATTACTTGCCACTACAGCTGGCCAAAGAAGAGACAGTGCTGTTGAATTAGGACGCAAATTATGTGTCTGTTTACTGGAGTATTTTGTTGAAGAGCACAAAGTTTGTTGTGTGACTGTTGCTCTTAATGTTGGTTTTTTTGTTGAATTCGTATTACTGAACTGTCCTCTGCTTAACTAAAGAACTCCCCAATCCTCACTCGTTGGTTTTTGAACAGGAATGTCAGATGGCTGAATTCGGACGTAATAACATGTTTATCTTCTTCTGTGTCCTCCTTCTCTTTGTACAGGGCCTTGGCTAGGATCGGGAACTCATACTTCAAGCAGGATAAATACAAAGAAGCAGTTCAGTATTTCAATAAGAGCTTGACAGAGCATCGTACTCCTGATGTCTTGAAGAAGTGTCAACAGGTGCAGTGCATACTGATTTCCCACTGAGCGGAGCTTTATGATTCTTCCTCAGACAGTAAATCCAGAATTTATATGTTTTCAGTTGACTTTTAAAAAAAAAAAAAAAAAAAAGTGGTGCTAGACCGACATGAAAACATAGGCGGGGTCTTCACTTATAACTTGAAACTGTAATTGGCTCTCCAGGCAGAGAAAATATTGAAGGAGCAGGAGAAGCTAGCCTACATCAACCCTGACTTAGCCCTGGAAGAGAAGAACAAGGGCAACGACGCCTTCCAGAAAGGTGTGTAATAGTTGTGGTGCTTGTTGGTTGTTATTTGATTCTTCTTGTAAGAACTTGTCTAAAGATAAACTTGTCTTCTCCGCATCACAGGAGACTACCCCTTAGCCATGAAACACTACTCTGAGGCCATCAAGAGAAACCCCAATGATGCCAAACTCTTCAGTAACAGAGCTGCCTGCTACACAAAGCTGTTGGAGTTTCAGCTCGCTCTGAAGGTACAGTGATTGCTTACCAATCATGTTTGTCAGTCAGTTAGAGATTCTAACCTGCCTCCAATTTTTTTTGCTCCTTAGTATGACCTTGTAATAATCTTTTTTCTCAGGATTGTGAAGAGTGCATCACACTCGAGCCCTCCTTCAGTAAGTGGGAAACTTTGTATTTATTAGCATTTAATTCACATTTTGCTTCAAGAACTTTAATGAACGAGTGTTTTGCACTTGTAACTGTTAAGGTGTAGATTAAGTCCATCTGATTAAACATCGGAAACACATCTGTCCACAGTAAAAGGCTACACACGTAAAGGAGCTGCCTTGGAGGCCATGAAAGACTATTCAAAAGCTATGGATGCATATCAGAAGGCTCTGGAGCTCGACTCTTCCTCAAAGGTATTTCACAGGCCACTACACAGTTTAGAGTGATAGAGGAGATTTCTGCACACTTAATCCTGTTTCACAGACCTTCATTAGACCATACATCATTCAACAGTGGACAGGTAGGTTAAAAAAACAAAACAAAAAAACAAACAAAAACAATCTCATGCTAAACATTGGCAGTATGGAACACACCTGTGCGCACCCTGCTGGTAGAAGCTCCACCTCTTGGGTATTGTAGTTTTTGAGCAATAAATGGAGTGCTGTGAGGCATACAAATCGAAGCCATATTTGTTAGGGTGCTTTCACACCTGCCCTGTTTGGTTCGGTTCAATCGAACTCAAGTTCCTTTGCCCCCTAAGTGCGGTTTGTTTGGGCAGGAGTGAACACAGCAATCACACTCAGGTGTGCACCAAAACAACCAGACCAAGACCTTGAAGAGGTGGTCTTGGTCCGGTTACAAATGAACTATGGTGCAGTTCATTTGTGGTGAGAACGTGTTCCGACCTGGATCTGAACCAACTGCAGTCACATGACACATTGTTTGGGTTAAACATGAGCATGTTACAGTCCTGGAGGATTATTAATGTGCACCTCCTCCTGTACTGCCTTAATATGCACATTCAGCACATCCAATGCATCAAAACATTGTTTTCTAGTTGGAGCCGCGCCTCGTTTTCAAACTGTATGGTTTGACTAAAATGAGCAATGACAGCAATATAGTCCACGATGAGCAGCGCTAAAATCAACCTGCGTAGTTGTCCCTCCATTGTGACATTAGAAAGTGTCACATTTATCTTTCAAGTGTATTCTTCTTAAACGTTTTATTTACTCCTGGATTTTTCCCACGTGGAAAATCTGACCAATCAAGAGCAGCTTTCTCGCGCAAGGCATTTTATCTGGTCCGCTTGTAAATGCTGCTGTGAGAACATGAACCAACTCTAGGCAATTATACAACTTTGTAACAAAATTAGTCCTCTGATCTATAACAATACGAAGCATCTAAAAACAAAAATAGAACCAAGAGCTGATGAGGGGTATCAAGCGAGGCCATCATGACACATAGAGCCCAAATTGTGTGTTTGAAATGAAATATCTTGAATTACAGGATAACACTCATATCCAAATCCTCGTTAAGGCCTGTTTATTTGTTTGTTTTTGAATTTCTATTTATCCTTTATTTAACCAGGAGAGCCCCTTTGAGATTCAGAATCTCTTTCATGGGAGACCCTGTTAGGACAGGCAGCAGCATAAATAAAACACAAAGAAATACACAGAGTCAGAAAACAAAAAGGAAGTAAATATCAAGCAATGGAACCCACAACTCAACAGACTAATTTAAAAGAGTTTGTTTTGTGACCACGCAAATCAAAAATATTGATATTTGTCGCCTTATTTTTCACGTTCTGGATTTCAAAGCATTTCAATTTTTTTTTTTTTTTAATAATTTGCTTTCTCCACATTCAGGAAGCCACAGAGGGCATGCAGCGCTGTATGATCAGTCAGACCATGAGGAACGACAGTCCAGAGGAAGTGAAGAAAAGGGCCATGGCTGATCCCGAGGTGCAGCAGATAATGAGTGACCCAGCCATGCGCATGATCCTCGAGCAAATGCAGAAGGACCCTCAGGCGCTCAGCGAGTAAGTTTGTTTATTTATTTTTTCACTTAAATCTTTTGTTTTAACTTAAATCTTTTGTTAACCCACTTAAACCATTTTTGTGACATTAACATGTCAGTTACAACAGAATTAAAATAATAAATTATTAACTAATTGAAAAATAATAAGCTCTAACGAAACAAAAAGTATAGAGTCCATTTTTCACATTTTCTGTCCAATTGTGCTTCTACTTAAGCGAGTACGTTTACCAAATTAATTGTCTCACTTTCTGTCTCTCAGCATGAAGAAGTTAATGTTTTCTTTTTTCCCGTTTGATCCTCAGCCACTTAAAGAATCCAGTCATCGCTCAGAAGATTCAGAAACTCATCGATGTCGGACTGATAGCCATTCGTTGACGAGAACCAAGAGACTCCGAGACATCAGTGGAACAATGTGCAAATCCCTCCAAAATATTACATCCTCCTTTCTTGCCTTCAAAATTCAAAATTACATTGTTCTTAGTCTCCCTGAGACTTTGTGTGTGTTACATTTTTTTAAAATCAGTTTCACAACTTTTACATTGTATTTAAGAAAGCATCTCGTATGTCATCTGAAGAACTTAAAGACACTCGAAAACATCTAGAGAAAAATAAATGGATTCATGTGTACAGATGCTCACATACATCTAAAAAATAAACAGCACAGTTAAGTGAACCATCGTGCAGTGTTTAAAGGGGAAATCCACCCTGAAGTGATCACATATTCCTATTGGTTCATGGTTTAAGAATTTCTACACTCAAAATAAAGATTGTAAGGTAGATCACAAATTGAAACTGTCAACATTGGTCATTGTTCTTAACTCTTCTCTTCCTCTTTTAGGCTTTACTTAACATGGTGCTTTAAAGCTGGAGTTTGTTTTCCTCTCTTTTGGTCGTCTACCACACCTCAGGTGGAAAGCTGAATATCCTTTCTGCTGTTTTTGAGCCTTGATGGATGCTCTTATTTATGTACTATACAGCTGAACTCAGGAAAGTGTCGAGGGTTTCCTTGATTCTGGTGTCGAGGGGACGGATCCAGACTAATTGTAACTGGGACTGGAAGAATACTACTTGATGCTGTTGAGAGTGTAGGGATATTTTGCCATGATTAGTGATTTAAGATGGAAAATTAATCAGTTATTAAACAAGTTCATACAGCAAATAAGGCAGCAGTGTTTTTGTGTATTATGTTAGTCAAAAATTAAAAGTTTGGAGGCAGGGTTGCACTTCTATGTGAAAATATGCAGTTGACAGTCCTCCCACAGTGTCATGATTTGGCGCTCGAGAGTAAACTTGGAAGATGTGCCGATAGTCTAAGTAGATACTTTTGAATGGCCTCGAATATTCATTTTCCAAGCCTGAAAATGTGGCTTGAATATCTCAAGATGATGGGAATAAAGTGATAGTAAAAGGGTGGATTTACCTTTCTAAACTAACTATTGGTTGAGTAACGGGGGTCACAACTATCACACTTCATAATGCATCTTTAATGTTTGTCGTCTTGTCTTAAGAGTACCGAAGCCTGTGTGCCTCTGTGCTATGGTTTCCAAGAGGGACTCACATATGATTTAAAAAAAAAAAAAAAATTAACTGGCACCTTTTTGTTTTCACGTTACCACAGCTGGATTTCTCTGTAACTCAACACAGCAGATATGGACATATGGACATTTTTCAGAGTCCCGTTGTAATCATAAGCCTCCACGTAACAAACGTGGAGTTCACACAATGTGAAAGAAACTGTCCCAAGAAGTGTAATGTACCAATGGAAATCAGTTGTACAGTCAAATATACAGTATCTGAATGTATTTTAAAGACCAACATTGTTGACAGTTACCCAATGCAGTAGTAGACCAATCATAAGGTCGTAGTGTGGTTTTAAAAACAGAGGACACACCAATAAAAAGTACAATGAGAGATTCTTCATACAAACACTTGTGTAAGTCATTATGCTTGTCATTGTTTATACTCAGAAAGGGACAGTTCAGCCCCAAATCAAAAATTTTCCTCTTACCTGTAGTGCTGTGCTTCAATCTGGATCAGGGGTGTCAAACATATGGCCCGGGGGCCAGATCCGGCCCAGTGGATGACCTTGCACATCTAATAGTGATGCACTTGGGAGGGCTGAGAGGTGCCAGGTTTCAGGAGCAAGTTAAGAGGCTGCATTGGAGGCTTTTCCATCCTGACCAAAATACAGTTCTTTTCTGTATGTAATGACAGTGACTAGTCGAATGTGGAACAATTGAGAGATATTGTCGGAATTGCATTAATTCCTCTGAAGACATCACAGGCTGTTTGTCATCTGTTTTGTAAATGGATTAGCATTTTCAAAATTGACTTCTTTAAACAAAAAAGAGGAAAAATTTGGAGGTGTTTGTTTTTCATAGGACATAATGCAGTGGTTTTACTGGTCCAGCCCACCTGTAGCCGAATCGAACTGCATGTGGCCCGTGAACTAAAACAGATCTGACACTCCTGACCTAGATTGTTTTAGTGTTAGTTGCCGAGTGTTGGAGATATCGGCTGTAGAGATGTCTTCCCTCTCTCCACTATGATGGAACTAGATGGCACTCAGCTTGTGGTGCTCAAAGTGCCAAAAAAAGACATTTGAAAAACTCAACAGCAATGTCTCTTTCCAGAAATCATGACCTGGTTACTCAAAATAATCCACAGACCTTATTGTGAGAAGTTTAATGTAGGAACTACTTCCTTTGTTCCGAACCAGTTGTATCACTGTGCAGAAGGAAGCATGCATCTACTGCTAACTCACCAAGCACCACTGAGCTACCTAACCGTACAGGTCAGCCAAGGAGGACCCCATAAACGACTACATCTCGTGCTGTAACATGCATACTTCCTTCTGCACATCGATACAGTTGGTGGGTGTAGCTCTAGAAAGAACATAGTTCCCACATGAAACTGCTCACAACAAGATCTGTGGATTTTCTTGAGTAACCATGTCATAAATTCTGCAAAGAGACATTGCTGTTGAGTTTTTCAAATGTGTTTTTTTGGCACTTTGAGCACCACAAGCTGAGTGCCATCTAGTTCCATTAAACACAGGAGAAGGCAGAACATTGAATGAATGGCTTGTGGCATAAAGGTCTATAACAAAAATAAAATGTTTTGCTAGTTTAAGACGAACTGTGATAGATGTTTATAAACAGGCACATTCAGTTTGATAAGATCAGCCTTTACCGTCTCGCATGGGAGAAATCTGATAGAACACAGGTGACGTATCAACACACAGCCTCGCCATACACACTGGATATATGTGTATACAGGTGCAATCAAACTCCAGTTATCATTCAGTAACGCACAGATCACACACATGTTCAGTAGTTTGATGGTGGAGCTAAGTGAAGTTCATACCTGTGGAATAAATTCCTAAATCAGTGGTTCACAACTGGTCCAGACACAGAGTCCAGATTTCTCCTCAGTCATTAGTTGAAGGTCCACACAGTTTATTTCATTCAGCATCATACTTGTTTGGCTGTGTTGTTAAGCTAGTTTGCTGTCTCTGTGAGGTAGCTCTCCATGCTCTTTACAGCAGGGAACGGCACTTCAGAATAAAAACTCTGTGCCGGAAATTCACTATACTTGAAAATAAAGTGTTTTTTACCAACTTGGCATGTTTGTGTGTCACTTGCAGCCCATTCAGAATGGACCCATGACCCACTTTTGGACACGACCCACCAGTTGGGAACCCCTGTCCTGCCCCCTTTCTGAATACTCGGATGAAAAATGAATGTTGAGTAAGCTGGTGTAGTGAAATATCCTTTCCATGACAGTTTCAGTCTCCAGTTTCTGGTCTGGTTTGTGAATTTGAATGTTTAATATTGTCTTTTATTATGACTGTATAACATGTATGTTTTTATGTCTTTTTATTAGGTGTATTAGTGAAAACACTGGATATTAGTAGCATGTACATGTCATTCCCTATTCCTGCCTGTCCTAGCCTAGATGTCAGGACAATAGAAATAAGTCATGTGACTATACTGCAATATCATGATGGACTTGATGCAAATCTGTGTACAGTATTTTAATTTCTCAAATTCAGTTAAATCTATGGACAGGTTACCAAACCATGCTGTGATGCCATAACGAATAACAGATCCAATAGCTGCCCTGCATAACCATAACACAGTGCTTTTATCTATTCCTTGGACCCTGAGCCTTTGCAGAAAATGCAGACGCTGGCTGGACATACTCCACTTGATGAGCCCATTGTAACTGAGAATCCAAGTGAGGTACTTGTACCTGCTCAACTCTCTCCCTGTCGATGACAACTGGGCTGTGGTCGCCAACAGAACCTCAGTTGCCACAATTATGCCAGCATAAATCTAGATGTTCGTCATCCATCTTGGATAATCTAAAAGTAAATAGAGAGTAAATAGAGTAAAATATGCTCTGCACACAATCTTATATCGTATAATCCTAAATTTCACACGTATAGAAGATCTCAAAGCCGACCTCACAATTATGTTCCACTAGGAGCAGTCAGAGATGTGGTAAGGTCATGCTCCCAATCTAAAGACATGCAGGTTAATTGGTGTCCGTAGGTGTGAATGTGAGCATGAATGGTTCTGTGTCTATGTGTCAGCACTGTGATAGTCTGGTGACCTGTCCAGGGTGTACCTCGCCTCTCACCCAGTGCCAATGTCCAGCCTCCCTGCGACCCCTAACAGGATAAGGTTATGGAAAATGAATTAATTAATGAATTTAATGTTCAAACTGATAAACGTTATTGTTTTGTGTAAATATACACTCATCCTGATTTTGCGTTTGGGAATCGAGGACCCTAATTGTTGAAGTTGTGAAAGCAAAATTTCTTTCTCAAGATTCATTAGTGGGCCCCCCAAATCTTTCAGATTTAAAGGGGGGAAGAATGGGCCAAAAAAAATCCCATCTGAACACAGACATTTATTTCTTCATACAGAAAGCATCTAGAAGCTGGCATTGATATCAAAGGTTCCTCCAAGTATTAAGTCTTAGGGCTGCTGTGAAACTGTGCCTTCTTAGGGCAACAAAAAAGTCTGTCATGGGTGCGTTGGTATTATGAGTAACCAAGAAAGGACAGCAGAGGAGATACCCGCACACCAATACAACTGGGCTGGACAGCCACAAAAAAAGGTTCACAGACTGAGATCAATGCAAAAAAGAATAAAGTGTGCAAGAAATAATACAAGCTTGCTTCTACTTTTTTAATTACTTTTTAATATTGTTAAGCACTGTCCCAACTTTTCTCGAATTGGCATTGTTGTTGGTGTACTGGTCTCTACCATCAGTTGTATTTAGTGTGCATAGACAGGGAGAGCTCATGTAGCTTCACGGAGGACGTGTACCTGTATGCCACAGAAAGTCACTTACACCAGGTGTTGTCTTCCTTTGGGGAATGCATGATTCACTTCCATCTGTTTCAGCTTGTTTAACAGGATCTGAGGAGGTATTAAAGGCTGAGCTAAAATCCATAAACATTAGCATGCATGTCAGCTGTAACCTTCCTAAATCTACAGATATTTTCCTTGAGCCTCTAGAGTCCATGGCATATTTTTTATTGTCATTTATTAATCAACTATTTATGTCTACATTTTATGCTATGTTATAGTAAGTGTGCAAGACAAGCTGTTCAAGCAAATTTTTTACAGTTTGTGGCGATGATAAATGGTGTAATTGACCTTTCGCTAAGCCACAGCCCTTTGTGATGATCCGACAAGCTGTCAGAGTAAGCATTTAGCCCACACTTGGAAAAATGAAAGAGTGATTCCAGAGAGAAGCAGACAGAGGGGTCTACAGTCTGTGTTTGAAGGATATATCCAGGATGTCAAACTGACTCAGCAGCAACAACAGGTTAAAAAGACAAAGATAGTTAGAAGCTAAAGCCCAACTATAGGCTACAGATCACAGTGTAAAAGTGAACCACCACATCACTGCTGATCACCACACAAGACAATGAATATAGAGGGAAACTTTGCTGATATTTAACCAGCTGTGTGGCATCACAGTGTGTGCAGATGAACTGTGTTTGGCTTCACCCCCGTGCTGCTGCCAGCATCTGGACCTCTGCCGCCGGCAGGGATCTCTGGGGGAAGTCAAATAACTTCCATCTGCACACAATGCGATGACACACAGCTGGTTGCTGGTTCCTGTACAGCAGGGTCGGCCTTTTTTTCACTGTTATAATCAGCTCCAAATCCACAAAACCAGCCTGAAATGAAGGAAATCTGAAATGATTGCATTAGAGTCAATGAAGCACAGCTGAGTTGATGTCGGACCCTGGTCTGAGCTGGCCTGATGCTACGTTATGATTGGCCAGTCTGTGCCTAGGGGCAGGATTTTGAGAGAAAACATGCAAAAGAACAACTGCAGTAAATATTTACAAACTAAAACCACTTAAATTTGTATGCCCCTCCCCTGAGCCAAAATAAACAACACAAGTCCCTCCAAGTGCTTAAAAAATAGTTGACATGCTTCCCCCTTTTTTGCACCACCCTTGCCCCCTCATAAATAACAAACAGTCCCTAAGTATTTGCATACATGTCAACTGTAGGTCTTTAACAGTAACTAAATTCTGAGGGCCCCCAAACACTCTTATGAGCCAGTGTTTAAAGCCATCTGGACATTCATGTTAAATTATTTAGTCTTATATGCTGAAAAAATGTCCATCATTTATCTTTGATTCATTATAAGTGTGTGGGGAAAAAAATAAATCACCTATTACCGTTATTAAAACAATATCTAATCTAACCAGGGTCTCCTGAGGTCAACGTCGCTCCGCCCACATCGAGTGTTCACGTGACCGACCGTCGCCCAGGTTGTGTCGAAAGCATCCTGGTGTTAGCAGTTAGCTACCCGCTGACAAAAACACAAACTAAGGCATGAATATTTTTACAACGCGCGAACTATTAACGCGGCTCTAGCGGAGACAAAGAAGACAAGGACCTACCCACACCCCACTTTCCAACATGGTTTGATAGCTGGCATGTGAAGAGACCAGTTAACGTAGCTAACTATTAGCGCTAGCTAACGTTCAAACTTTGACGGGCAGCAGCAACAATTCGCTAGCTAGCTGCTAGTTTGATTGACTACAACCATTCCGGCTAGCCAGGTAACACCTTGTTATTGTAGCAGGTATGCTAACTAATTAGCATCTCGTGTGTGTACTGAGTAATAACGCGTTTTTTGATCAGCCATTTAAAACTAGCGTTATTACTAAGTAACGTCCGCTAACTGATCAATAATGACTGCTGTTGAGCGGCTAATGCTAACGTTAGCGGTTTAAACTTCACTGTAACTAACACACAATTACGCAGTGTTAGTGCTGATTATCTTTGTCCCAGCTAATAGTGAAATTAGGCGAACAGCAGCTACTGAACAGCTGTAACCTGAAAAGCTACGCGTCTGTGTTTTCTTATTGATTCGGCCAATCACATGAGATAAATAATGCTAAACACCAGGATGTCAAACGCATGGGGATTAACGTTAAGGCAGCAGTATTTTGTAGAAAACACAGCTGTCCGGTCATTTCGGTAATCCTTGTTTTCCTCATCATGCGGCTTCAGTAGATGTTTGTAATTGCTGAGAGTTGAGTTTAACGTCTTGTATCTGCCAACACATTTGGCTACGTAGTTCACCGTAAACAGACTGTATAGGCTAGAGTCTACTTTTCTTTAAGTTATGCCTGGGGACGCATCAGATAGTAGCGATGACTCCGATACCAAAACAAATGAAAAGGCCTGCACCGTCAAGCATCAAATCACCAATGGTAAGTCAATTATACTGCTTATAACTACGAATATAAACCCCCCTGCACACTGCAGTTCACTCAGTCTATTAAAATGTATAATTGTTTAATAGCTGAGGCTCTGTCAGAGTTAGAAATGACCACATGTAGTCATGTCTGAGACTGGAGGTTATGGTCTATGTTTGCTTCTCCACATATAAATACAAACAATTAGAAACAATTAAAAGTATGATGCAGATCAACACAACCCCATTTAATCCAAATCACACACAAAATTGGATTCTAAATACAAATACTTTATGCTAGGTATTTTTTTTACTACTGTATTGTGTTGCGTGTTTTAGTCACCCATTGTATGTGGTTCTCAAATGATGTGCCGTGATGCTAATCCAGGTATTCCATGGGAATTTGTGATCACCACACATGCAACTGGACCTTTACAAAAACTTATGAATGAAATTTTGATTTTAGACAACCATTCACACTCACATTCACACCTACGGGCAATTCAGAGTCACCAATTCACCTAACATGCACGTCTTTGGATTGTGGGAGTACCCGGAGAAAACCCGCACTGACACGGGGAGAACATGCAAACTAGGCACAGAAGGAACCAGGAACCCTCTTGCTGTGAGGCAGCAGTGCTAACCACTGCACAACAGTGCCGCCGAGCTGTGATTTATTTATTTGTCGCCACTCACGTGTGGAAATTATAAGTATGTGACACATTAAAAGCCCTGGTTGGCAGCCAGTGTGAGAGATGATAACATGTAAAAAGAGAAAGCCGTGAGTGGGACAATTAATCGCTTTATTGTACGGAGCAAATTACAGCAAAGCACCAGCAAAGATGAACTACTAGCGAAAGAAAAGAAAAAAAACACTGATGTAGATAATGGATTTTTTATCCTTCAGTTTACACCCAAGTAATTCATTTCACACGATCTTACCCACCCATGTGCCAAGCTTCCTGAGCATCTGTGTGTCACACCAGAGCAGCTTGTGGATGGGTGCACTGCCTTTTAATGAACTTGGTTCAATTGGTCTGAAATCTAGACCGAAAAAAAAACCCACCTGTTGTTGTCTTATAGTTTGTTTATGGACATTATATGTATCCTTAAATAGAATGCACGGTGTAAATCTTTAAAGATAGTCTGTACTGAATGGCATAAGGCAGAGAACTGCTGCTGTAGTGTACTCCCTCAGTTGCTGAAAACTTCTGGTTAGTTGCAGATAAACTGCAATCAGTGCTGTCATCAGCTGTCAAAGGAGCAATGTATTACCATGCTTAATTGATAGGGGTGTAGACAGTGACTGAAGTGCAACAACCTCTGAATCTATAGAGAGCAGTGCAGCTGACAACATTCTTCTAAGCTGTAACACAGTGAGTCATCGGAACAATCAAGTACACGTTTGTATTAAAATATTTTTTTTGTTACTGTGCTGTTAAGTGTTTCTCTTTCTGAAGAATGCAGAAAGTCAAACACGCTTTGAATCCATTCGGTTAAATTGACTCACAACTAAATTATGCCACCTCTTAAAGTTTCACAGCTGTTTCAGAATAAGAGATGCCAGTGCAAATTGTGAAATGTGTCTGCCTGGCGTTTTAAAACAAAAGTGTCTGTGTTTGCAGGGCTCTGAAATGAAGCATATACTGCATGTTTTGATCATGATATTTTTGTTTTGCCACTAGCTAACCTCACAGGTCACACCGAGAGGGTCGGCATGGAGAACTTTGAGTTGCTCAAAGTCTTGGGCACTGGAGGTAAGTTTCCACGTCAACATGAAATATATGAAATATAACTGTAGTTGTAGTCAAACCTGATGGAAAAACTTGAGTAAGATGTCAGTATGAGATATTCCAATTATCAGACAGGATTAATTTCCCTGCCATGGTTAAATAACTCAAGGGCAACAAAGTGTTTGTAATTGGTATGTGTAGACTGTGAGGAGAAAATGTCCCTGATGACTTAAATGCTGTGGTAAAACATTTTTTACATTCATATCATGAATTTGGGAGTTGCAAATGATCAAGGCAGTAGTATCTGAATGTTTAAAAGACAGGCTGTCGATGTCTCTGTTATTAGATCTCATCCACAATGAATACCTATGAGAGATCTGAGAAGCTGTGGTGTGCAGTTTGCATATATTCCACTTCAGTTTCACTTTTGTGCTAGAAAGTGAAGTCATGAACGATTGGATGAAATGTTTGTTTGTCTTTGTCTAGCTTATGGAAAAGTGTTTTTGGTCAGGAAAAACACCGGTCACGATGTGGGCCAGCTGTACGCTATGAAGGTGAGACCATATGTCTAAGATATTAAACTAAATGTGATCACAGACAGGTTGGTTAGACCCTGTTTACATTTTTTTAAGAAATGCATTTTGGTGATCTGAACACGAGTGGACAGCTGAAACCCATAGCCATTCACGCCTGCGTCTATAATGCGTCTCCAGCTGACCACGTCTGTTCACATATTGTCACTGCCTACGTCACTTGCACTCGAAGGTCAAAGGGCTGTTATTATGTCTACAGCCTTTCATGTCGTGTTAGCAGTTGTGTCAGTGCAGCTGGAGATATTATTGTCAGCAGAATCCACACATATCCCTCCATGGGGCACAACGATGGATGGTCAAGCAAGTCTTTGTCCAAATCATTGTAAAACAGGCAAGTTATGTCACCAAAACAACCACCACGCCCTGCACTGATGACGTATTCTGCTGTGACGTCCTTGTCAGGGACACATCAGGACGCATTAGCTCTTAAGCACTATTCGGACGGGATTAGTTTAATGTGGAGACGTGGGGTAAAGTAATTTTTACCAGGGATTTTAGTTCCGTCCGAACGTGCCATGTCTGTAATCATTATGGATAATATCAGTAAACATTACGGCGGCTTTTATCTTCTGTAAAACGGTCCGGAGTCACGTCCTATTTACAATAATTTTTCCGCCTTTACAACTAGTTTTCCGCGTTTTTTCGATGATGGAGGCGCTTGAAGAAGCGTTGGGTGTTGTCGGCAGTGGTGCTAGTGGACATTCTTCTAATGATCGCATAGCCCTATGTGGGAGACCAATCATAAGGTCGAGAAGAAAGCACTTTTCAGAGCCACCAGACTTCTGGTTGTGTTAGGTAGGCCTAATATAAATCCATATTGCTAATCGTTGTGTACACACAATCCTGATCATGGGCAATATTTCATATTGGGCTGATCATTAATTATTATTATCCTTCAATTGATGCTTACAGGAAGCAACGTAGCACGCACATGCTGACAGGGAGGTGACGCCAGGGGGCAAACCGAGTTACCACTCCCATCTCTGGTAGAATTACGGAGATTTCTTGTCCCGTGCGAATCGGATATTTATATTACAGACATCCTGTGGTAAATTGACATTAGTCCACATCCCTGTGTAAAACTAATCCTGTCTGGTACTTTACACTACCAAAGATAAGTAGTCAGATGCGTCCCAGACACTTCGGCGGTTGTTTAAACTTGTATTTAGCGCTGTACACTTGTGATCCGATAGCCAAGACACATTTTAAAACCAAGTGTAAACAGGGTCTCTGATTTAGATAAAAGAAAATAATTCAAGGCGGGAAATCTTGTACAATCTTTTTCATGTAAAAGATTTACTGATTTGGCCTTTATTCAAAATATATTTGTGTACTTGCACAGAGAAAATTATATTGATGTGTCTGAAGCAGAGTTGTCTCACAGGCAGATAATATTATGTACATGATGTCTTTTTTAGCTGCTGTATTGATAGACACGTTGTTCTATCAAGGTTGTCTCGATTTTCCTGGTGTTGACTTAATATGCTGATGGGAAGGTTATTTACAGTAACTTCATTTTGATGACTACCCCAGGTGTTAAAAAAAGCAGCCATCGTTCAAAAGGCAAAGACAACAGAACACACTCGCACTGAGAGGCAGGTGCTGGAGCACATCCGCCAGTCTCCTTTCCTGGTCACGCTCCACTATGCCTTTCAGACGCAGAGCAAACTACATCTCATCCTGGGTGAGTGATGGCACAATACAGCCTCATATGGAGAACTTTCTGTTTTCTCAGTCTCGCAGTGCTGAATAGATGTTCTCTTTATGTTTCTGTCTATTACCGTTTGTCTGTTGGTATTTTGTGCATAATGTGCATAATGTGTGTTGTGTGTAATTTTTGTACCATGTCTATTCAAGCTCCCTGTGTATTTGCCTGTGTGTGTGAGTACAGACTACGTGAGCGGTGGGGAGATGTTCACTCATTTGTACCAGCGGGATCACTTTCCTGAGGAGGCGGTGCGGATTTATATCGGGGAAATCATCCTGGCTCTGGAGCACCTGCACAAGGTGGGTGTCCCTTCTTCCAGCTCCATAACTTAAAGCTACATTTATCCATTTGTGGAAACCAGGGAGCAGAAGGAAGACAATGCAAACTTACAGAGACACTGCACCAACCTATCACCTTATATATTGTTATGGCTGGTTTGTTGGAAAGCAGTTGCATAGTTACATACATATAGCAGACACAGAGCAACATTATCACCCAGTTGGAGTCCTGACAAACACAGGTGCTATTTTTAGTGGTCACCACCAACTCCTTGGTCAAAGGTACACTATGCAGGATTGTCAGTTACTGTTTGTAAACACACCAGCCAGTGAGAGTGAAAGTGAAAGCCAACCCCGGCTTTACTCTCGTTTGGTGTTTCGCTTCACTATATTTGCATGTTTTCGGCGTTGCGTCTATTGGAAGCCTACTGCTTTTGATGTGGCGCCTGGTTGCTGGTTCCTTTTTGTAAAACCCCGGCATCACCTGAGCATTGTAGGGATGCATGCCCATAAACGTTCTGAATACAGACAGCATAGTCTCTGCAGAAACATACAGCGCCATACTCTTACATTGGGTTATAAGTGGTTGAGAGGGATTTGTTGTGTGTGACTCTATACGTTGTTGTTTTTTTTAGGAAAATCCTGCTTAGTGTATCTTTAAATAATTGAACCTTTAACTGCAAAATGTTTGACTGTCTTCAGCAGATACTCGCTGACTTTGTCTGTCATTTGGTGCTGGGCAGGAAGTCCCCTTTGGGCTCTTAACGACCTGAAATCTCTTGCTCACTAAAGTGGTTACACAGTGGTTAATGTTAAAAAACGACTGTGGTTGTAAATGTTGCTCTAAATCCAGGTCAGCAACTTTGGCATTGAAAGATAGGCATGTTTTGTTTTTTTTAAATTGATGTGCACAAACCACAACATGGAAGTTGACAAAGAAGACAAACTAGATTCACACTGCATCTCTTGACATTATAAAACTTTCAAAATAATAGATTCTTGCAGGTTGTGTAAAAATCATCATTCACTCAGATTGTCCAAATTGGCTCAAAACAGCTGTTTATCCCTGTTGGCATAAAACATCCTAATCAATAAAGAATGCCACCCTTTGAAGCCAGCTTGCTATCTCAGCACAAAGCATTTTATATCTGTTTATTTAACCTTGATTCAGTCCTCAGTGTCGAGTACCTGGTGCTCCTTTTAACGTCGCCTCTATTGTGTATTGCGTTTTTATGTAAATGTGTTTTTATATGCTGTATCTGGATGTGATATGATATGTTTTAACCTGCCCCTTTAATAGCAGATAAATACACATAGACAAAGTCTCTTCTTCTTCTTCTTCTTCTTCTTCACCCAAACAACATAACGTTGACTGTGATGCCTTGTTCCTTTGAATAGTATCAAATAACACCAGCTATGCAACAGCACCCTTGGTGATTAGTATTCTCATTTCCTGAGGTAATGTTGCAGTTAAGGGTTGCACTTTAGATTGTGTTGCTGTTTGGACAGTTGTTTGCTTTGACAAGATAAAAACTACTGAATAGAGTTGGGTCAGATTGATACTGCGTACCATCTCTGCTCACACAATCCTGCACTTACCAAGAATGTAACTAGAAAGTTTTCACTTTTGTTTTGTTTTGTTCAGCTTGGCATCGTGTACCGAGACATCAAATTGGAAAACATTCTTCTTGACAGTGACGGCCATGTGGTATTGACAGATTTTGGGCTCAGCAAGGAGTTTCTGGAAGAAGAGGTATGTCAGCACAAAGCAAAAAATCTATACATATGGATGAAGATCATGACAACTTTTTGTTCATATAAAATTTGTTTTTATCATAATACTTTTATCTTCTCCGTCTCCCCATTACAGAAGGAAAGGACGTACTCTTTCTGTGGTACCATTGAGTACATGGCACCTGAAATCATCAGGGGGAAATCTGGGCATGGCAAGGTAAATATATTTTGGTGAGACAGTAAGCGCTGTTGTTCAGTGCTCATATATTTTGGTAATGTTCAAGATTTTAAGTGGTGACAGGTGAGGAGCTGGTAAATTGCAGTCAAAGACTTAGGGCCCTATTTAAATGATCTGTAGCTCATGGTCTGAAGTGTTGTGTGCAAGTGCATTTAGGGCGTGTCCAACCACTTTTGCTGGTTAAATGGTGCATAATCTGGGCGTAAACAGAGGCCCGCAGGGCAAAGGGGTTGTATGTGGTCTCTTAATTAATCATAGGTGTGTTTTGGGCGTAACTTGAATTCAAGAGTGAAGGAGGACTTTGAAGAGGCTTAAAAGTTTCTTAAACAGAAGAGAAAATGGTGGAAGTAAAGACTAAAGACAAAACACAAAGAGGTATGAGAAATATTCTCCAAACGCTGGATGACAGTGAGCAAATGAAATAAAACAGATTAGATTGTGCGAGGATAATATGTGTGGTTGATGTCATTCGGGATACACACACATTTCCCACCTAACACTATACCACCGGAAATAAAATGATCACAATACTAAAATATTTGGAAAACTGGAAAAGTGCAGCAGTGATGACTTTGGTCTGTCTCAACCTTCCATCAGCAGAGTAATCACACTAACAATGACAACACTTTCATAGTCAGCAGTTCATTTCATCTCCACTGGGTGTCCACACCTTGTAGACTCACAAAAGGGCGTGTCTGTGACAACCAATCACATCTGTTAAAAGAATGTGTCTTACCTAAACCACACCTCCTCACTAAGGTAAAAGTTTCTATCCCTTTCTTGCTCAGAGTTGCTATGAAAACCTTTCTAAGTCACTCCTAAGCTAGGACTAAGTTAGGAGATTTGGAAAATGGGAGAGTAATGCAGTGAGAGCAGTAATGCACTGCAGCCAATATGGCAGCAAAACTAAAAACTAGTTATAAACTTGATGGAAGAAACAGAACTTAACTTTTAGCTTCTGAAACAGTCAGTGAAGTTACTCTGCTCCTCATGTATAAATGTGCACAGCATGTATCTTTATGTGCAGTCGGACAGCAGCTCTGCTCTCTGCTATGTTCACATTTTAAAGAATGTCATTAAGATTTTCCTTATTAATTACATATTATTTCACCCACCTGCAACCCATCCACGCACTTTAATGCTGTAAGCGTAATGACTTTGGTAACTGTGGTGCCTACCCATGGCATGTAAAAGTCTATAAATAACATCTACTTTGAATACTTTGAATACGGTCTGAGCTAAGACTCATACATTAGATCAAAGATAAGATTGACATCTATGGTTATTGAAGGCAACCAGTATCATAACAGACAACACAGGTTCCACTGAATAAATACACAATGGGTGCCTTATCTGCTTTTGTTTTGTGCTCTTTCTTTTATGTAATGTTTTTTTGTTTACCTGTCTTCTTCTTCAGTCTGTAGATTGGTGGAGCCTTGGGATCCTGATGTTTGAGCTTCTGACGGGAGCATCTCCGTTTACCTTGGAGGGGGAGAGGAACTCCCAGAGTGAGGTGTCAAAGTGAGTGCAGTTGACTCCATCTTCTTTGAACATGTATTCAAATGATCAACCTTCCTTATTCTCAGGTCGTAACAGTTATCTCAGGCATTATACCGTCTCTCATTAATCAATCCAACACACGTTGTAATTATACATGTGGTTATTCTTTACACAGAGCAGTTCTTAAAGCTGCTCTATGAGGGTACTATGTTAACAAAATTATTTTATTTCACTGACCATCTCCCCCACCTGTCTTCTGTCAGACGTATTTTGCGCTGTGATCCACCGTTCCCCTCTATGATTGGATCCACTGCTCAGGACCTGCTGAGGAAGCTGTTGGTGAAAGATCCCCACAAGAGGCTGGGCTCTGGACCGCGTGGGTCTGAAGACATCAAAGCACATCCCTTTTTCAAGGTCCTTTCTACCTCAACTGCCAGTCATTCACATTCTCTCTTTCCCTGCCTGTCACCTCTTTGCATTCATCCATAACTCTTCCCTTCTGCTTTTTTGTTTCGTAACAGGGACTGAACTGGGCCGACCTAGCACAGAAGAAGGTGCAAAGTCCGTTCAAGCCAGAGCTGAAGAGCGAACTCGACGTGGGGAACTTTGCTGAGGAGTTCACCGGGATGGATCCCGTCTACTCTCCGGCGAGCACGCCGCCAAGCACTGACCGCCTGTTCCAGGTTGGTCCTTACTTTCTCAACCTTGACCCTCATAATTGGGATTTTCAAAATAAATTACCTTTAACCACCATCTGAAAATAATCCATTAAGTAAGTAAAGCATTTTTTATGTAGCGCTTTGTATAATACACAGTGAGAAAGTGCTTCACAAACACAAAAACATAAATGAACAAATAAATAAAGTAAAATTAAAATTACAGAAGCCGTTGAAACAGTCCAAAGATTCAGCAAATGAGATCACCTGGGGAAGATAGTTGAAGAGGGTTGGGGCTAAAACAGCAAAGGCGCCATAACTTTGTTAAGCAGTTTGAGTTGGGGATGGACAAAAAAGGATCAGAGTGGTTGAGAATTAGAATAAGGAACGAAGAGATCAGAAATGTAACTGGGGTCAAGGTCATGCAGTGTAAGCCAGTGGAGGGATGCAAGAACAGGGGTACTGTGAGAATGATGGCTAGCTGTAGTTAAAAGCCTGTCAGCTGCGTGTGTGGTTTTAGGCACTCTGTTTTCTCTCTCCTTCTTATAGCAGACTATTCAAAGTCTACTACGCCTAACATTACCTCTCTGTTCTTTCAGGGTTACTCCTTTATTGCTCCCTCCATCCTGTTCAACAAGAACGCGGTCATGGGAGACTTTGTGCAATCCCAGATTGGTGCTGAGCGTCCTGCTTCAGCCTCTGTCCAGCGCAGTGCAATGTTAGAGGTACGACTCTTGAACCAGCTGATCTTGACTCATAAAGCCATTTTTGGTTTAAAGTGGGTATTAGTTGTTGCTTTATGGTAGAGAGGCAGTAATCTAGGTAGAAGTAAAACAGCATTTAAAAATACTCAGCAGTGTTTGTTAATAAGGGCAGACAGGAAGGAAGAGAGGAAGAGAAACTAGTTCATTTAGCCTAGTCGAGCAAAATTAACCAAGGTTGTCTGACCTTATTGAGCACCATGTTTTGTCGCATTTTGTCGAAGGCTAGGTAATGTTAAAGAAATATCACAATTATGAGGAGACTGTTTGATAGCATTTAGATTATTGTAGCATCTGTTTCAATCCTACAGTATGCAAGGATAGATGTTGATGACAATCAGGGTTTCATATGAGTGTAAATGTATCTTTATATAAATCTAAACATGGTTCTCTGAAGCAGACCTTTCTCAGTGCATAAATACTGACTTTGGGGTTGTATCTCATTTTGGTCGGTGCACATCAAAATCCTTCTTACACTGCTGGAAGCTATGTCCTATTGCACAAGGAAAAGACAAACAAACTCAGCACGTCTCGCTTAAATAACAGCTCAGTGTGACTCATGCCATCATCCCTTCTTTGTTCAGGAATCCCAGTTTTTTCAGCACTATGAGCTGTGTCTTCACGGGCCGCCCCTCGGCGAAGGTAGTTTCTCGGTGTGCAGGAAGTGCCGACACAAGCAGACCGGCCACGAGTATGCTGTCAAGATCGTCAGCCGCAGGTGAGTTCAGATGCTGCTACACTGTGATAGTAAGAGGTTTGAGTTTGTGTGCTCACTGAACCATCTGACTGTATAAGTCTTGTTGTTAACTGACTGTGCTGACTGTGTTAGAATGGAGGCAAACAGCCAGAGGGAGATCGCTGCTTTGAGGCAATGTGAGAGTCACCCAAATATCGTCAAGCTCTATGAAGTCTATACTGATCAGGTACAGTGGAGGAAACCCACATAGGGTGACATGTACAGTTACATAACATTAACAGATTAAATCATGAAGATACTGTATGTTCTTTCAAGGATGGAAACTTCAGCAATGTGGGACAACAAAAGAATCTCGTAAACTTTTCTCTTCTCTCTCAGTACCACACATATTTAGTGATGGAGCTTCTGCGAGGTGGCGAGTTGCTGGAAAGAATCAAGAGGAAAAAACTCTTTGGAGAGGCGGAGGCCAGTCAGCTGTTACAGAGCCTGGTGTCAGCCGTCAGCTTCATGCACGAGGCGGGAGTCGTGCACAGAGACCTCAAACCAGAGGTGAGCTGGGCTTTAATGGCTTGATTCATTCCTCAGAACAGCTGTTCTCAAACTTTTTCCAGTTTTAAATTGTTTTTCAGCCAATACCCCCTGACCAGCACAAAACATTTTTGGTAGACGTGAATGCCATATAATACACACAGTCTCTCATTGGAAAAAAAAAGACCCAAAATCATGACCACACGTTTTCCTGCTTACCTATAGTGCTTTCTATTAAAGCTAGATTGTTCTGGTGTGAGATGCCGAGTGTTGGAGATATCGGCTGTAGAGATGTCTGCCTTCTCTCCAGTATAATGGAACTAGATGGCACTCGGCTTGTGGTGCTCAAAGTGCCAACAAATACATTTGAGAAACTCAACAACAATGTCTGTTTCCAGAAGTCATGACCTGGTTACTCAAGATAATCCACAAAACTTTGTGTGAGCAGTTTCATGTAGGAACTATTTTCTTTCTTTGAACTGCACTCTCCAACAGTACCACCGCACAGAAGGAAGTGTGCATCTACTCATAGATGAGAGGCTCGTGCTCCTGACAGCATGGCTGAGGTGGTGTTGGTGCTAGGTGAGCTAGCAGGAGATGCATGCTTCCTTCTGCGTGGTGATATGGTTTGTGGGTGTAATTCGGTAGAAAGAAAATAGTTTCTACATTAAACTACTGACAACAAGGTCTGTTGATTATCTTGAGTAACCGGGTCATGATTTCTGGAAAGAGACATTGCTGTTGAGTTTTTCAAATGTATTTTTTCTAGACTTTAAGCACCACGAGCCGAGTGCCATCTAGTTCCATTATATTTGAGCGAAGGCAGACATCTCTACTGTGGCTATTTCCAACACAGCAACTCCCACCAAAACAATCAAGATTGATTAATAGCACTACAGGTAAGAGGAAAATGATGTATTTTTGCTTTTGGGGTGGACTGTCCTGTTAAAACTTGCCTGTGAAAAATATCCCACCTATTATAATAGAAAAACTAAAACTAAACTGAATTAAAAAACAAAAATTCAAATGAAATAAAAATAAAAACTAATTAAAAATACAAAACTATAATAACTCTGGTGCACATGCATGTATAATTCTGCTCATATTAAAACATCAGTCCAAACTCATTACATCCATAATTCTACCGTTTGACATTCTGTTGAAATTAAAAATACATTTCAGTAATTAAAAAATGAAACTTTTTCCAGATAAGTTAGATGTTAGAAAGGAAGCCATGGCATGTGGAATTACTGGCCCAAGTAATATGATGAGAGAGAGAATTAGTGAGAACGAGAACAGACTGAAGTTTTAATTGTCTCAGTATTATTCCACTGTGAGCTGCATGTGTCCTGTGTACCCTCAGGAAATCTGGTCCACGCTGGCTGAATATGTCATAAGTGACCACTTTGATGTGTGGGGACGTTAGTGTGGGTACTTTGCAGCATTACCGCACATGATTTAATCAAGGTAAACGCAGTGGACAACAGTGCATAATGTCTCCACTGCGGTGCAGCACTTTTCAAAATGAAGGCTGCAGATTTATCACACACATATCCTGCCGTCTTCAGATGGCTGTGGGATTTAATTAACTGAAGGAGAGGGCTTTCATATAGTATAAAGCAGCTGTGAATGACAGATAGTGGTAAGAATCACCAATTAACTTTCAGTTCTGCGCAGAGACGCCTGTCGTAATCGCATAAACTTTTATTTTTGATGCCAATCTAAATGCTTTTACTGGTGGGAGCGTTTTTAATTAAAATGGTTTATCTACATTATTCCATAATTCCTGCACATTCTGCTAAAGCATTGAGTTTGTGCTTGTTGACAGAATCACCAAATGATGAATCATGGTCAGATGAGTGTTGTGGAAATAGCTGTTGTCCTACGGCATCTAATCTCATTTTCACCACAATATCAACAACTAATTTTGCCTCATTTAAATAAAACTCCCATCTGTTTGCCCTCTACTCCTACCTTTGCACCACATGTGCTGCGATGGGCACAAAAATGTCATACACACAGGCAATGCATTCATTGAGCTCAGAATCACATACTTGCAGTTTTCAGCAGTGGTTCTAGTATTTAGTGTTTAGTACTCTTTGTTCTGTCAGAAAATTTGGAGCCCTGGGTGTAAAAAGTTGGGAAAAATAAGAGAGGACAATGATTGATCTTATTTGTTTCCCTTGCAGAATGTGCTCTTCGCAGATGAGGGGGAGGACTCCATGCTCAAAGTAATAGATTTTGGATTTGCCCGTCTGTGCCCCGCAGGCAGCGCCCCCCTGCAGACTCCCTGCTTCACGCTGCAGTACGCTGCACCTGAACTTTTTGAGAGTGCAGGATACGACAAAGCCTGCGACCTCTGGAGTCTCGGGGTCATCTTGGTAATTTAATCTAAAACCGCTGATTCGGTCGCATCAGTCGGTAAGGCAAACTGAAGTACTAATGAGTCTCTGCGTGTGTTTTCATCAGTACACCATGCTGTCAGGCCAGGTGCCATTTCAGAGCGAGCAGCGGGGGATGACCTCATCATATGCTGCTGACATCATGCAAAAGATTAAGGAGGGTGATTTCTCGTTGGACGGGGAGGCCTGGAAGGGCGTATCGGAGGATGCCAAAGAGCTCGTTAAAGGTATTTGATGTAGTACGTTTGAAGTGACACATTTGCAGCTGGCTTTAGGAATTAGGGGCACATGACAAAACCAACATAGGACACAGTAGTGTTAGGCAGGTGTAAATAAAATTCAAAGCAGTTTGATATTAAGCCAAACACCAGATTGGAGCAGTATACTGAAGGTTGTTATTAGCAATGGCCATTTACCCTTCAGCTCTGTGGTGACCTTCCTTTCAGACAACTGCCACCTTATTTAGTGTAATGAGGACGTAATGTGTAGAGAACACCTCATTTTACCTTCATGAATCAGCCGTTCCTCTTTCAAAGAGGGCGACAGGTATAAAAAAAAAAAGGGTGTGTGGTGTTAGTGACTGTGGTCCATTTTGTGCCACCCTCGTCGGCTTCAGATTCAAAATGTATATTATATTTATAATATTTCTAATATTTTCTGTAACTAACCAACCAACTGCAGAGTAGACAATCTGCTTCCTTTTTACACTGGCACGTGCATGCCCAGTGTATGTAAATGGTCATGTGATATGTATTTTGAGGCGTGTTAGGCCCCGATCACACAGAAAGCATTTTAGCAGCTGGAGGCGCATTTTTGTAATTGTTTTTAGGGAGAATGAAGCTTTTTGCTTGTGGTTTTTGTGTTGCAACGCACCTCATGTTTCTTCGCTCTTTGACAATGTCCTCTATGTTTTAAGGCCTACTGACAGTGGACCCAGAAATGCGTCTCAAACTCTCTGATCTGAAAGAGAACAGCTGGCTGCAGGGCGGAGCATCCATGTCCACCACTCCTTTGTGCACTCCGGATGTGCTGGAGTCTAGTGGGCCTACTGTCCGCACCTATGTCAACGCCACCTACAAGGTAATGGTGTACAAAATTTGTTCTCAAAATAGATTAGTTCATGAACTTGATGTGTTTGATCATACTGTTCTTTGGTCCTATCTGTCTCTCACCAGGCTTTCAACCGTGGTAAGAGAGAGGGCTTCTTTCTGAAGAGTGTCGATAATGCTCCCCTCGCAAAACGCAGAAAGCTGAAGATGACAAGTACAGGTGTAGAGACCCGATGGAGTTCATCTTCTTCCTCCTCCTCTTCTTCCACATCCTCCTCTGCCTCTGCATCTGCAACAGCATCTAAAGCACAGCCAAAGCAAACTGTGACCCCAAAGCAGAGCTAGCCTAAACAGCCGGGGAGAGAACAGAAGGAAACGAAGAGGTATGAGCTTAAACTGGAGACAAGATGTCCTCCAGTGGTGATAGGGTCACTCCGTTCCAAAAAACCAACCTGACAAACCAAAAAACTGGTTTAGGTTAGTATTTCGCTTTCAATTTCAATTGAATTCCACCTTTTTACAGCAAAGCACCTTCGTTCATTATGCCCAAACTGTATTTTCCTTGAGCTAATGGAATAGAAGATGGTAGAAATCTAGTTTGGCATCTTTAAGATGTACAGAAATCTGTGGCCTTGAGAAAAATATTATTACTCAGTATTCACTCACCATAACATGGTGACATCACACACTAAAAGTTAAAAATGAGACATTTACTTGTTTTCACTGTGGGTAAGAAACAGTGCCTAGCTATATAGGGATAAAGGGAAAAAGGAGCCATAAATGAGCAGAAGCCATATACATATACATATATACAGCAAAGCAGTGAATATATCAATTGAGCCGTTGTGAATACACTCAAAGTTGCACATAGCAAATGAAAAGTCCTTCCAGGAATTTGTAGGCTCAGTTCTTTGTATCTTTGTAGATTGCATATAGTTATTTTGTATGGAGCCCCTAAAGTCCTGAAAGGTATTACTTTTTATCTTGTGTTTACAAGTTATTAACCTGTGGGAACAAGTTATTATTTTATTCGCACAAATTAGCCTGTTATCATCTGGAAACAAGTCATTTATCTTGTTTACCCAAGTTAGCCCATTACCTTGTGTGCATAAGTTATTATCTTTTGGGAACAATTTATTATCTTGTGTACAGAATTTATCATTTTGTGGGAACAAGTTATTAATTTTGTTCACACAACTTTTTATCTTGTGGGAACAAGCCATTATTTGTGAGCACAACTTGTCTGTTTTTATCTTGTGTTCACAAGATAATAACTTGTTCCCACAAGATAGTTCCTGAAAGATCATTTGTTCCCACAAGATTAGAACTTGTTCCCACAAGATAATAGCTTGTTTTTGCAAATAATAACTTGTTCCTTCAAGATAATTATTTGTTCCCACAAGATAAGGTTCCCATAAGGTAAGAACTTGTTCCCACAACCTATTATCTTGTGTGCTCAAACTATTGTAGAAATAAGTTATTATCTTGTGGGAACAAATGATTATCTTGTATGCACAAGATAATCACTTGTTCCCACAAGATAATAATTTGTTCCCACAAGATGGTTCTCAGAAAATTCTAATCTGTTTCCACAAAATAATAATTTGTTCCCACAAGATAACTGGTTCACACAAGATAATAGCTTGTTCCCTCTAGATAATTTGTTTCCACAAGATAGCATACAAGATAATTTGTTTATACAAGATAAGAAGTTGCTCCCACAAGATAATATCTTGTTCCCTCAAGACAATAATTTGTTCCCACAAGATAGTACCTTGTTCCCTTGAGATAAGAATTTCTTCCCACAAGATAATTTGCCTACATAAGATAAGAACTTATTCCCACAAGATAATAATTTGTTCCCACAAGATTGTTCCCACAAGATAATTTGTTTACACAAAATAAGACCTTGTTCCCTTGAGATAACAATTTGTTCCCACAAGAAAGTTCCCACAAGATAATTTGCCTACATAAGATAAGAACTTATTCCCACAAGATAATTTGTTCTCACAAGATAACTTATCTGCACAAAATAACACATTGTTCCCACAAGGTAACAAGCTGGTGCAACAGGTAATAATTAGTTCCCGCAAGATAACTTGTGTGCACAAGATAGAAAATATCACCTTTTTGGACTTTAGGTGCTCCGTAATTTTGAACTTTGCCATGTGTAATTTTTGGCAAAAATCTGCAAAACTTTGGCCACAGGTGCCACATGTAGTCGAATAGTAGTTTTGTATGAACTTAGAATTTTTTGCTGTTGCACTTTTTGCAGAGAATGTAAATGATTAAAAAACGGCAAATTGCTGGAAGGACTGAGGGCAGAGGGAAATGCTTAGGATATGTAAAACCTTTGAGAGCAGAGGATGCTGTAGTTCTCTATTGGATGCAGTTCTAACTGTGTCAGTCTGAAGGGCACTGACTGTTGCACCTACAGTACACTACCAACTCTACATATCCCTTTGAACACAACGCGGGGCGCATGTCTTCATCGATTGCTCTGATGATGAAGTATTTTTGGCAAACAATCATAGTTTGACTTGAAGTGGTCACAGTACTAACCAAGTGTCCAATGGTAGCAGAGATGAAGACACAGAAACAGTCATGAAATCAAGCGCGATTTTCTCGTCATACGTGCTGGTGTTGATATTATTACTCGCGTTATTGTGCCGCTCTGAAGATTTCTAGCATGCTAATCTGTCGTGATGATGAACTGTAAGAACTTTTTCTATATTTTGGTATCTTGGTATCTCACTAATGTCATGCAGAATGTTTCAATGCTACCAAGTGCAGCTCGAGTGTTTGCACGTAGCAAAATCCATTTTGGTGATTTTGCGTGTACATCGCCTTGAGCTTGTGAATTTTTAAAGGGTATTTCTCTTTTTTTTTGCCTTTTCAGACCAGCGCCATATGCGGCTATCACAAACACAATCTGATACAGTCTTTGACATTATGCTCAGCTTGTTGTCACCTGGGCTGTAAGGGTCACCAAAATGTCTTTTTACAGATGGTTTTAAAACATCGTAGGGCTTTGAATTTGAAATAATGTTACAGACACTTAATCATGACTTTAAAATGGTTTTTCTGATGAGACCATCCTGCGAGATCTGTATATACTCATCCTTGATTTAAAGAAAACAAAAAAAGATGTATGTAATGACTTAAAATCTGAAAAATGTTTAAATGGTATTTTGGTCTCCTGATGTATTTTTATTGGACTTTTTTTTTACATGTTGCACAGTCAGTTGATCAATTAAACACATTTCAGCTTTAAAGGTGCTTTCACTGATATTTATTACATGTAATTGATTTTAATGCTGTGGTAATGGGATTGATGATTAAATCGGCTCTTGTGTACCAGCGCCATGAGTGTGTGTGTGTGTGCGTGTGTGTGTGGCTGTGTGAGAGGGTGAATGGTGCTGGGAGGTTGGCTGTACCAGAAATTTCTGTACCAGATGAAGCATTATTGCAAGTTACTGTATTATTTCCTCGTTGTTGTTTGCCGCCTTTGTCTGTTTTAAAGGTAACTGGTTGTTCGTGTTTGAACATTGAAATTTTTACTTAAGGAACTGTGCTTTTATTGGTGTTGATATTATTTTGTTGTAGTAAATGATGTTTTCCTTTTCTCTTCTTTTTTTTTTTGAGCATTACTATTTTACTGAGATGCACTGTCACTGATGTTGTAACTGGGAATTTATCTTTTGCATCAAGATTTTTTTGGTTGGTGCAAAATAAACTTTTAAATAGACGGTTGTGTGTTTTGTCTTTTGAGTGTCGTATTTGTTGTGTAAATGCTCGCAATGAGAGTGCTCAGGTTGAGCAATGTCAGCAGCAACGACACTGAGATCCATTATCAGTAAGTGCAAACAAAATAAATTATACAGGAAGTTTGATAACCGCTTTATTCGACAAAAGCCATTCTAAAAACGTACCTATTTAATAACGAGGGAAAAGCTTTCTTTAAAGCAACACGAGTAGTTTTCAGTCAGCGTTTCACTTGTTGGTACCACTCAAGGTGGCAAAACTTAAAAATAATTTATGAAAATGTCCATGTCCGTAGATGATATTTTGGTATGATAAACATTCCTGAGTGGCAGCTGTGTCACAGTAACCAGCTCATGTAGTGAACCACCCCCTCAGCTATTTTGCATTTTAGACACTGGTGCATATCCTGGTTTAAGCTCATGGTCAGGACATTTTTCATTCATTTGTCATTTTAAAGGGGACCTTCTTGGTTTTCATTCAAGCCCAACTGTGAATCTTTCTGACAAATATTGAGGTAACCGTAGCCCTTCAAACAGTCAATGACATACATTTTTACATAATTTTTGCCAAAATTATATTCTTTTCTTTTAGCACTGTGACATCCAGGAACATCAGGGACACAAAACTCAGAAACTGGAATACTCACAGGACTCTAAGGATTCAGGAAATGCATATTATACCCATACTTTTTCATTGTGAGACGTTATTGTGAGCCATAATTTAGAAGAATTACTTTTCATTTTAAGTATTTTGGGGTAGCTTGTAATTGGTATGTGACAGGGCAGCAAAAAAAAAAAAAAAGTAACAATATACTTTGGAGTAGAGTAATTCTGTATATGCTTTCTATGTTCCATAAAACATTGAAAAAAATAATCCAAATGTACAAAATGCAGAACAGTACACATCACTCACTCACACAGTGATTCTCTAAGCACACAATACTCACACTATTTCCATAAATTACGTGCAAAATCTAGACCTCGGGACAACTGGAAAAGATGCATCTGAGGATCTTGGGGTGCGAGAAGGAACATAAGGCAATAAAAGATCTGTTATTTAACTTGAAGCAAGGCCTCTCTGGGCTTTGTAAGTAATCAATAAATAAAGGTTTGGTTTTGGTATCAAAGTATTTACTCTTTTTTTGTGGGTACTTGTACTTTTTTGAGTATATAATAAAAAAAAATGATAAAAATAATTTATCATTAGTATCATATGTTGCTATATTTCAAGACAAATTTGTTTCAGAGTGAAAACAAAAGTCACATGAAAAGGTCCTGATAAGGAACTGTTCTTTGTCAGAGGAGAGGGGTGGCTGGGGTGTGACTTTGTTTTTTTGTGTTCGCCTTTTACCTTCCCTAAGGCTACAGATATTTTTCCTTAAGCCTCCCTGTGTGACTGGTGGAAAACGCACGACCCTCCCTCCACCATGAATTAGTTCTTAGATTTTTAAAACCTCCCCTCTGATGTTTTAAAGTTGGGGACAAAACCTAGGAGTTGAATTGTTCAATTTTGATTTTTCACTTTTGTCTTAGCGCAAACAGTTTATTCTGGCCAAATTTTAAATGAGACACGTCGAATAAAGTGATTTTGATGAAATATCACTATTATAAGCTCAGATTAGGTTATTTTTTTTTACCCTAACAGAAGTGTTTGTCGCACATGATGTGTCCGAGGAGCGTCAGAAGTTTTAAAATCCAACAATAATTTCTTTCTTTCTTTGTTTTTAGTTTCTGGGTCTGAAAAATTAATGCAAATTAACGCATTTTTTTTTAATGCACTGCTTGTATCATCCTCCTCCATTGTCTAAAACAAGCTAACAGAACTTGCTCGCATGTCTTTGGAGAATAGTTTTGCCTCCAGCTAAGCTCCACCCACCAAAAATCATCATACTGTTCTCTAACAGTAAAAGGGTCTACAAGCCAGGGTGTTCCCAACTACAATTTGGAGCTGGTAAGCGGTCGCTGAGAGAGGAAACACTGGTGCTTAAAAATTATTTAACATGCCTCCTCCTTTTTGCACCACCCTCCTCCCCCTCATAAATAATGAACAGTCCCTAAACTGTGTGACAGGTGATCAATCAGCAGCTGCAGCAAGAGGAGCTGCAGGTGTGTGTGCAGAGCTGCAGAGAGGAGACAGTCTGCAATCAGCTGGTCACACCTGCAAAAAAAAAGGTTACCTGAATGAATGAGTGATTTCGTGCACCACCCGGCAGGTAGCCTACTCTCAGTGACTCAAATCAAACACACCCACGATGTTGCGTGACTCTGGCTAAATGCTAAAAATGCTCAGGCTGGATCCTGCTGAGGAACTTTTACGCACAGTGAGGTGTGAGAGGCCTTTCTGCTGTGCAGTCCCGGATGACTGCAGAGCCTTTGTGAATATGGGGAGCGCAGAGGGACCGTGGACTGGTTATACTGGGGCAGAGACACTAAATGGGACTGAGGAGCTGAACCTAAAGCAGGTGGTGACGACTGAGGAGGACGAGACCCACAAGTGAGCACTACAACACACTCACTGAACTCAACAACAATGCGTTTTGTGGTTCTTTGGTAATATTGTGGTCATATTGTATCTGTATTTCACCTTCTAAATCAGGAATTCCAGTATGTTGTTTCCATGGTCCAGGAAAGTTCAGTCAATCTTTGTGAAAATGAGCTACCCTCTCTGAAATTCAGAAACCACAGAATTGACCTTTCACTAAGCCCCGCCCCTTTGTGATGGTCCGACAAGCTGTCGCAGTAAACATGGAGCCCACACTGTAACTAACTGCACTCCCTGAAGAAATATTATCATATTTTTGGACAAATGAAAGAGTGATTCCAGAGAGAAGCAGACAGAGGGGTCTACAGTCTGTGTTTGAAGGATATATCCAGGATGTCAAACTGACTCAGCAGCAACAACAGGTTAAAAAGACAAAGATAGTTAGAAGCTAAAGCCCAACTATAGGCTACAGATCACAGTGTAAAAGTGAACCACCACATCACTGCTGATCACCACACAAGACAATGAATATAAAGAGAAACTTTGCTGATACTGAACCAGCTGTGTGGCATCACAGTGTGTGCAGATGAAAGGTGATGACACAGAGCTGGTTGAAAATCAGCAAAGTTTCCCTGCTTCCCTTCACTGGTTCCTGTACAGCAGGGTCAGTCTTTGTTTCACTGTTATAATCATTAAAAAGCAAAAGCAGCATGTGTATACATTCAGTAGGCTATATCTTCAGTAGCTAGCTAGCTAACCCTACACTTTTCAGGGTCTGATTTTGGTTTTGGAACAGGGAAGAAACGTATATCTTTTTCCAACCTCTCCAGGTAACGAGTATCATTAATACACGACGTGCCCCAGGCACAACATTTAGCTCCAAATCCACAAAACCAGCCTGAAAATGAAGGAAATCTGAAACAACTGCATTAGAGTCAATGGAGCACAGCTGTGTTGTTGTCGGACCCTGGTCTGAGCCAGCCTGATGCTATGCTATGATTGGCCAGTCTGGAGCTGCTCCATAGACAAGAAATGTCCTTTTTTAAGCTTAATCTTTATTTAGTTTTCATCAACAACACAATGTATAGGTTTCCTTTCCATTTTCAGCTGCATATAGCAGTTGTACACATCATATTCAAGACATAAACATAAAAGGATAACAGCATAAACATCCACTCCAAAGTGTGTATAGCCGAACTTGTTAATTAGAAAAAAAAGGAATAAAAATGTAGTAATAATAATTGTCCCCTGTAAAATCTGCTCTACAGACTATGACATGTGATGTGTGTGTGCCTGACCAAAATTTCTTTAAAGTATTTTTACTCGAGTACAATCTTCTAGTACTCCTCCCACCTCCGAGCTGTATTCCTTGCTATTTATTTCTGTTCTTCAACTTGACCTTGAAATTCCAGAGCGTCGTGACTGTTAAAATCTATAACTGGAAAGATTTCTGTTCAGTCAAACAATCCCTCTGTGCTGCTGTTATTTCTGTTTCCACACAGCCTGCAGCTTCTTAACAATGTCAGATGATCACTGCATCTGATTGTCATATGCTGCACTGAACTACGGCACAACTTTGTACAGTTGTTTTTCATCGTGCGTGGTATTAAACCAAAGAGCCTTCAGTTGTGTTTCTTAGTGTCTTTATTTCCAGCAGGGAGCTCTAATATCCCATCGTGTGTAATGAGTTTACTGTACCATTAGGTGGCTGCTGTGTCCTTTGTGTCCTGTTTTATCTGTCCCTTCATCTCATCCCGTGTCCGGTGTTCCCCTCTCATTTAGTTACTTCAGTGAAAGATATAAATATGTCACTGTGCTCAGAAAAAACAATTTTAGGATACTTTTAAAATGTCTAACATTGAATTACTTGATTGTTCTATTTCTCATATGATGTCATGCATGACGGTCAATGGCACAGGGTTAGACAGGTTACATTTCCCCATTAGGTCACATGAATGTTGTTCAGGAGGACAGGACGGTAATTAACAGCACAGGACATGGGGAACAGGACACAGCCGACACAGAGCAGGACAGAAAAGGACGCAGTTGCCCACCTAATGATACAAGACCTTCATTACATAGGACAAGACACTAAATTACACCTTCTCACTAAATTACACCTTTCCTCATGTACCACCGAGCCAGGAGCCTGTAAAAGACATTGTAAAGGGTTTGTGGCTCTAAAGAGAAGCACTGAGCGAAGAATATGCCCAGGCGAGTGAAACGCCTCTGTGGCCTTTGTGTTGGGTGTAGGTCTTCTTTTCTGAGGCACAGCGGTGCTTTGAGCTAAATGCTAGCATCAGCCATAATGCAAACATGCTAAATTTGAGCAGGTTTATTCACCATGTTAGTTGAGATTTGGTCATAAATGTGTGCTGGATGAACCGCCCATTTGCAAGAAAACATGTTGGCATTGTATGTCTCTGCAAACCATGTATACGTTACATTTGCACATTAATATGTAGCAGGCATTGTGGTTAATGTGTGGTTATGTTTAGGCAC